AGGGGGGGGGGGGGGGGGTACCACTATCATTTACAAAAGCACAGCTGTACTAACCATTGCAAATGCATCAAGATCATTTGGGTTAAACTGCTTGAGTGATGTGAGAACAGACATTCGGAATCCTCTAACAGCTTCAGCAGTGCCACTGTTAGCATCTGCAGCAGCCGAGTATTTTTGAAGGAGGAGATCTAGCTGTCCATTTTCAATAAGAATTCCAAGTATGAAATTAAGAGCATGGAAGTTTCCAACTCCTGTTATCAGGCGAGCCAAACATGAAAAATCACCCTCCGACACATATGATTCTACCCTGGCTGCTGCAAGAGCTACAAGAACATCAACTCCATCAAGGCATGCTGAGGACTTGTAAAAGTGATGGGAGAGAATGAGAAGCTCAACCTGCAACACAATTTTCCAGCAAAAGAACGCGTTAACTAGCTGAAATGAGGTTGAAGGGCTTTTTCTTTGTGGTGAAGGGGTGCAAAACAGAGAGAGAGAAAAGACCAAGTGAGTTTGAAATGAAAAATCTTTAGGGTGCATTTAGTACCCCGCATTAGACCAGATATGGATTATTATTATCCAATACCACGTTTGGTGCATGCAGTCCAGGAATCAAAATTATCCTGGGGATTTGTTGTGTGTTAAGTCAGCCCGATAATTTTAACACGTCATGAGATTAGGGATTAGAGGGGATTATGGGAAATGGGTTGCTTATGCAGCACCAACTGGAACAATTAATTGAAAACAAGAACAGATCTATAAAGATGAGAATATTAAGGGAAGAAACAGTAGATGAAGAAGAATCGACGGAAGTAGTAGAAGAAATAGAAGAAAATAGGAAAAGAAGAATTTTGCCACAAACCATCAAAAGTTTATTCATTCATCAATTGTTTCAATTACATAGCAAACTAGATTTATATAGCAAAACAAAAACATAGAGAGATCGGGCTTGGGCCAAACCCTTTATAAAAGCCCAATTACATAACTAAAAGTCCAAACATAAATAAAAGTCCAACTAGCAAAATAATAAAAAATCAATGTCCTCATCATTTTCATTCAGAGTTTTAGGTAGATATGTGGGACCAATGAACATATGATTAGACTTGGAGGCTGGAAGCCTTGACAAAGACGTACTTTTGCAAAATCAGTAATTTTACTTACAAGTAAATAAGTAAATTAAATTTTAATAATCAGAGTTAAAAATAAGTAAGTTAAAATACATTCAAAATTAAAAATAAGTAAGTTATTTATTTTGACATAATACAAGAGTTCCTTTTTCAGAAAAGAAACCTTGTTTTAATTAAAAGTATGAAAAGATTAAGTTATCAAAACATATTTGTAGACAAAAATTCACTTATATGTAAAACAATTGCTTATTGTTTTTCAGAAAAGTGAATAAATTCACTTACAAGTAATTTTTAGTATTGAATCAAAATTTACTTATGAGTAAAGAACACTTTTGAGTAAATTTACTTATAAATAAAAATACTATAGTAAGTTTTAATTTTTCAATGCTTAGTTTTTCTAATATGGTGTAGCACCAAAAGCCATCATAAAACCATACTCGACAATCGAGCTTAATTCCACCCTCCCTAATCCTTCCCCCTCCTAATCCTATATCCCCTAACCCCATAGAGTATACCAATCGTGCCCATAGGGATTATGTTGATTCAATTAGATAGATAGAAATATATATGACAAATGGTGGCATTAATTTCACAATAGCTGGCAATGGTTTGGTTAATCCCCATGATTTAAAAATTAAGCACGATTAAAGCTTTTCAACACAATGGCATCAAATGAAACCAATTAACCACATAATTACCTCACACGCATGGGGGATTTCTTGCCCGGTGATAACCAATCGCATTAATGCATGGCCAATTTCTGACTCAGAAGGACAAAGCTCAGCCCACTTTAAGAAGTCCGAGAATCTCCATAGCAGAGGAGCAGGTCCTTCCTCCTTCTGAGAATCCATATATCCTCCACGATGTGCAGCTAATAGTCCCTGAAGGAAATACATCAATGTAAAAAATGAAAAAACAAGTCCATAATTTCTTGATGCAAACTGAACTGCTCTGATTCCTCTAATCAAGCAGATAAGAATGAACCCATGAGAAATGTTTGCAGTACAACTACTAGGCCAAAGATCAGATTGGATTCAATCGGACATCAGAATCTGCAGATGCTTCTCTTGGTTTAACCCCCCAAAAATAGCATTTCTATGGTCTCACCAAATGTCAAATACATACTCGAAATGAAGTTCTACGCACCTTTAAAAAGGATTCAGCGAGAATTTGAGCAATACTAGAAGCTGGTATTGATTGAGTTTGCACCAGAAGATTGGCTTCCTCAAAAGAATCTTGTGCTTTAAGAGAAAGCAGTTGTAGCAGCTCAATTGGTTGCTTCTCAAATGCCTCCGAGAAAGAAAGACCAAGCACGTTTGCAGCCTTGACAACTGATATTATTCTCTTGCATAGTCCACGTCCACTGCCTTCCATGAGAATGGTTGCTAAAATCTCCAATACCTAGAATTATGTAAGAAACCAATCAACAAATGAAAACATGGATGAGAAATTTTGGAGGGTAGCGATACAGTGAAGTTAGATGAAAGTCCCAGTGGATTGACAAAGAGGAGACTCGGGACAAAATGCTCAATCGCTGAATCATATTTAAGAGAAAAATTATTGACCTATTACTATGTGCATGATAGTGATCTTGCTCATTCATATTAGAGATGAAGAAAAGTAATGCAAACATGGGATGGCTGAATTAACAAGGCAACTTGATAGCTTAACAATTGTCAAATCTACTTCAATTTGTTTGTTTTGCATTCCTGGCGAGAATTCGCCAGTACAAAGAAAGACACTAACCAAAACAAACTTTTACCTTCAGGGGGTCAATCACATGATGGTCAATCTGTAGATTGTACGACTGTATGAAAGAGCGTACTTCATTGTCCAACACTGATACGGATAATTTATTGTGAGGAGTTGACAGAGAGGCCAGCTTGAGAGCAACGTCTACAAGTGTGAATTCAGATGGTATATTGCCTGGAGACAACTTATTTTGCAGTTGTCTGGCAGCTGTTGTTTGCCCAAAATCTAACAAAGAAAGAACGGCCCTTTCTAGCTCAGCAGGTCCAATTCTTTCCTCCCATCTTGATAATGATATATCCATTTTAAAGTTTTCATCTACTAATTGTGAGTCATCTCTGTTATTGACGGGAAGAGGTCCACCTTCAGACTCAAAGTTCTTATCCAACACATCAAGTAAAGGCCTTCTGGATGATGCAAAGCCTTTGGCTCTGCGTTTTATCTTTGAACCACCTCCTGCAATACTCGAAAAGCTGGAGTCAACAGTTTGGGGGATTCTGAAACGTGTCTGACTATTTTCTCTAGCATCATGCTTCTCTGAAATTTTACTTTTCATTCCATTTATATGGTCATCCATTTTTGAGATAACATTTGCAGTACTATCTATTATATTGGAACCCTTCCCAGTTCCAGGTTCCAAGGTAGTATAGGTTAATGCATATTCTCCTTCATTCTTCACCTGAGCTTCTGATTCTACAGCTAGCAACCACACTCGGGTCTCAATCTCTCGCAGAAGATGCAACGGATAAACCCTAATGGATAAATTGAACTACTTAATAACATAATAGTGAGCAGCTCTGGAAGCACAAGTGCTTGTTTAAGAAAAACACTTACGGATTAGACTGAGTTATCATTCCACTGAGCCACTGTAGAGAAAGTAACAATAGTTCATGAAGCTCTCTCACTGGAAGATCTTTCTCAACCACCTCAGCATGTTTGAGGAAAAATTGCCCTGCCTACAAACAAACCAATAGAACATTCCTCAGTGACCAGTAACTATATTGCCTCAACAACTGAGCAGGTACTTTGGCAAGACCCCGAAAACCCTCCCTCACCACCACCACCAACAAAAAAAAAAGAAAAAGGAAAATGAAAGTGCGGTCAACTGGCAAAAGGATGGAAATAACTTGAAAATTAGGGGACACAAAGGAACAGTATATCATATCACTTGTTACCTGGCAATAAAAAAAACATACCTGCAATGCTGGGAAGGAATATCTGAGAAAAAGTGTTTGACAATGGCTCCATAAAGCAATTCTCTCTTCTGGGACATCCCAAAGAAATTCCTTCCATTCTGCAACCATGGCTTCAGCCTAGACCATATGCAGACATACAACACAAAAACGAAACAGTAATAAATAGATCAGTTTTAAGCAAGATGTACAGCCATATTGCTAGTTGAAATTGAAGCAGAATCAGGATCCTTTCTTGCAACCATATTGCACAGTAATTGCAATGACTACTAAATACATTCTGGGAACAGCTTGGAAATTTTGTCAAATTGGCAAGGTACTCAGTACTTTATATACAGTACCCATTAGCTCCCTTTAGAGAGAAAGAAGCTACAAGAAATATACGGAAGGGCCAGCAAAACAATAGTGGATAATTAATAGAGACTCCAAGATTTGTTCTATTCTACATTGTCAAAATGCTAGCTACCAATTTTTTAACAGATCTAGTTGAATAGGGCTAGAAGATGAAACAAACACAGCAAACACAGCAGTCCATGACACCTACCCCTACCGAAAAAAAAAAAAGGCGCCACATCAAGCTGCACTAAGTGTTTCCGGAGGCAGGAATATACTGTAATAAGATGCGAGTGGAAACTCCCCCATCCCACACTTGTTGGATAATCAACAATTAAATATACAAAATATTCGGGTGAACTAAGCATTGGGAAGTAGTTGGCCATTGCTCTACACATGTTGCCTTGACTGGTGATTCTACCTGTACCTATATATAAATGCTTTCAAATTAATGCATTACCGTGCTCCAAATACATGCTTCGAAGCACAAGGAAATATAATAAAACTGAAGTACTTAAGCAGCTCAGAAGATGAGAAAGAGTCTTACTGAAAACATATGAGGTTCATATAGGAATAAATAAAAATCAATATATAACTTTCTACAGTAGAATGAAATATTCTCTCACTTTTTAACTTGTATTACTACTTAATTACGCCCACTATAGGTTAGTGTCAGAATTTTAGGATCACTTGAGATTGATCTTGATGAAATCAACCACTATAACTAAAGAACAGAAAGAAGGTAACCGTTGTTATGCACTGACATCAAATCAGTGATCTCAACTAGATGAGAAATTCAAGAGGAAGGCGTCTTCCACTGGTTTGTACAAGCACTCACTTCACTATTATTCAAGGTTTCATAAGAAAAACTGAAGATGTGAAAATCCAAATATAAAACTTCCAGTTAGCTGCAAATTAGACAATGTGGCAACTAAAGGAGACAAGGAGATGGTAACAAAATGGAGAGAAGAAGTGGCGAGGTAGGTTGCTTGAATTATATAGGTTCGTGCAATTCACCTATGTAAGCCTGTGCGGCTGATTGTTTTTAAGAGGGTAGCTTTTTTGCTTTAACATGGTCTCACAACTCAGCTTGAAATGTATTGCAGAACCAAATCTCATTTAGATTAATCACATCCATTATGCATGTTTATCCATGTTACTGTCACTGGTCCACCTCATTTGAGCCATAGTTTCACTTCATTATCGATTTTTGTTGGGCTAAATAGCATCTTTCGAATCGACTTCCTCACGAAGTGGGATTTGTAAACTCAACCCAAATTGGATATTAACCTCCCAAAATAATATCTAAACAATTAGTGGCCTCCCATTATCCATTATTTTTCCTAACATTTGTGCTCGAGGGGCTCAAAATGAATCCATGAGAGACCTCACTCTCAGTTCCCGCAATGATGGTCATGCCCCAAAAATTGACTATATTAGTGCACAGCAAGCTCAGGTCCAGCTGCATCGTGTAAGTCACGCATGAGGGGAAGTGTTAAGCTGAATGTCCCACATTAAAAAATATCACTTTCTAGCTTAATATGAGTTCAATGGCCTCTCTACTTAATGCCAAATAGTTGAAAATGGATACTTGAAAAATTTGCATTACAGCACAATAACTATTAAAATTTGGTTTCCATTATGTAAGACTTCTTTGGGAGAAATTTAGAAGATTTTCTATCAGAGTTAGTTTTCAAACTGGAATTTCACAAAGTAGTGGATGACTCGAGGACAGAGATAAGCAAGATATATTAGTCGATGCAGAGTTTGGTAGCACCTGATATATTAAAAGTGAAATAACATCAAGAAACAAGATTGAGTCGCAGAAAGAGGCAATCACACTCTTAGATTCTCTATGAGCCTCTACATCTAAGCAGTTTTAAAAGTACCTTTTTCTTATTACTATTTGTAAGGTACTTACTTTATTTTTTAAGATTGGTGGATAGGCGATATCATCCTCTAGGAATTTTATTATTTCCTGGATTAATAAAATCATTATTTCTAATCAAAAAAGAAAACAAAAACAAAAAAAACGAAAGGAGCAGGGCAACGAAACTTCAGAAAAACTTCACAAGCACTGAGGCATTTCTTTGAAACGTAGCCTTCCAGCCTGCTCTGAAACATTCATGGATACGCATGTGGGTAAGAAAGTATGGTACCTGCACTCTACAAAGTGGTTTCTAAATATATCCTCTCTCTCCCCCCTCCCCCCCTCCTTGGCATGGCACAGTATGGTACCTACACTCTACAAAGTAGTTTCTGAAAAGGTCTTTAAACGACTCCTCATCTCAGTTCCAAAATGTATAATAACAACTTTATTCTCTGCTATAAACAGGACAAGTTAGGAAAAACAAAAAAATAAGTACCTGCATTTCTGTAACATGATTGGCTGCTGATTTCCAGAGGGATTCACCACTGGCCTCTAACTGCCTGGCCCAATTGCGTGCCTGCTCCCAATACCCATTCTTCTCTAATGCTGATAAAAGTGAAGCATCATCCAATGTTTCATTTCCTAGGTGTGAATGATCATCAGTTCTTAGTGAAGGTTCAGCCAAATTTATTTTCCAATAGAGTCGTCGATAATATGTTGCAGTAGATCCTCCGTCACCAAAATCAGTTGCAGCGAGTAGCTGTAGCAAGCATCTTTTTTCATATGGAGATGGGCAAGTTGCAAGTATTGCATCAGCTGCTTTTACAGCAGTAGAACTTGTCCATGAATTTCCAATGTGCCTTTCTCTTCCAGAGTGAGTGTGTGTATGAGAAGACTCTTCCTTAATGCTTATAGCAAAGGATCCAAGATGTGCCGAAGCCTCTGAAAGGCGCATTTGGGAGAAGGCCTAATACAAAAGGGAAAACAGACTATCAAATGTAAGGTAGAGGAGTCATGTGAACAATTTAAGATACACCTCCAAAACATATAATTTTTCTCCTTCAGACTAGGAAAAATGGCAAACAGATAACATATATTGAAATTGTATAAAAAATGAAGCAGCATGACAAATAATTTTGGTTATAAAGATAACTAGATAAGTACAAGAAAGCTTTACACATTCTATACCTTTATCAGCCTGTTAGCTAAACTCAATAGTAATTTTATGTTGTGTCCTCAAATCACTGGTTCTAAAGCACACACTTTAAACAGCTATAAAATTGGTCTCAAACAGTAAAAAGTAATTGAATAATAACAAGAATCAATGCAATAAAGTGATTTCTAACTAATTTTACTTCATTGTGGTTAAATTAAATGAAGAATGAAGAACTTCTAGGGGATAAAAGTAATTCTCAGTTCACATAAAAACCAATAGGGATGCCCTCATGTCTGTACATAAAAAGGTAACAAAAAACAAACAGAAACCTACCATACAGGAATTTTTTAATCTAGCTGTGCATATTCCGTACTTGTACAAATCTGCTACAAGTTCAATTACCTTGAAAAATCTACATATGTGAATCTGACAGCTGAGATAAAAGAACAGTAAAGTCCCCCAAGCAGAGTTCAACATTCAATTAATGCACCATAAAGCTAAGTTCTAACATATTACATCTTGAAAGAAATCTAGGAACACATTCAGCAGTTCATCTGGAAAGCAACTGTCATTTCACATTAGAGAACTGCAACTTGCTACAATGGGATATCAGGTAACCAAAGAAGCAATTGATGCCAGGAACAAGGGAAAGCTGGTGAAAATTTGGCATTTTAGAAGGTAAACCTAACGAGTCACACTAAGAATGAGCAATTCATTATCAAATGCAAAGCATAGTAAAAACGGGTGCATGTTTGACTTCGTCCAACAGACACAAATGTAATATCCATTTTCATTATCATTTCAAGTACATGTCATATTATCTTAAACAACCTGAAGAGCACGGACAAACGGCAAAAGAGAACACGAAGGAAGAAAAATCTCAAAAGCTCGCAGCAGAGGAAGGAACAGGTGCTGTTCACAGAGCACAGCAACCATTCTTGACAAAAGACCAGCCACGTCATCAACCTCAGCTGAAACCTCAACATCTTCACCATCTTGATTTTCCTTTTTAGCAATAACTCCTTGAGTCTTGGTACTACCAGAGCTAGTAGACATTTTAGATGCTGTCAAAGCAAGGGAATCCAGTGAAATGGGTTCCATAAGCCGCCTTCGTTTTGGACTTCTCCTGTTATAATGAAATGTTACAGTTCTAGCATTTCCTGGCAGGGAATTTGTAGCCTCTACTGCAGCTGCAACATTTTTGGCCATCTGGGATGCAATGTCATTAACTTTAATGGCTGAAGTCTCCCTGATAAGAAACAAAGTTATGATTTTATTTCAACTCCAAATCATGGGAACAGTATATAATATTAGCATATAGAGAACATACTCTTGTTAGATAGACCACAAGTTTTAATATGATTTAGTGAAATTAATAGAGAAACAAAATAAATTGCAGTCATAAGATATTAAATGGATAATGAGTATAACATGACGACCTTGCTGCAGTTATTTCGAGCCAAACAGTTAGGCAGGACAATGGGGAGACATCAGCAAAGCAAGATGCAACCATTGCCAAAATTGACCAGCGCAAATTCTTTGCTTTCAGTAGAAGAGCTTCCCCAGGCTTTTCCCCTTTTTCACATTCTGCTATAATTCCAAATAGTTCTACAGGTGTGTAAAGGTTTTCATTTGAGAAGGAAGTTTCATTCCTTTTTTCTGCAGCATCCAAATTTGATGAAGAACTAACTTTTTTCCTTAACATGCTTCTCAAAACTGTTAATATATGAATCTTTAAACGGGGATCACTAAACTCCTTTGATGCCTGACAATGTGAGAAACAAGAAATAGAATCAATATTTTCAGCTAAGAATAAGGAAACAAGTAGAGCCCATTTGAGCAAATTTTTCCCGCAACTGATACACAAAAGCAATATGAAGCTTACCACTTGGATGACAGTATCAGATAAATATCCTCCAAACTGAGCTTCTGACAAAAAACCAACCTGTGAGGGAAAAAAACAAATGGCTCTATCCTTAGATTTCGAATAAAGTAGTATTTCATCATTAAATAGAACGCAAATCATGAAATGTACCCAATCATTGTCTCTTGCTAATATGGCAAGGTATTTAGTGCTCAAAGGAATGTTATGCATCTGACAAAAAACTGTAACTAAATGCCAGCGCTCGCTTGCAACTTTTTGCTGAGATCTTAGATCAGGTCCATCCCCATTTCCAGTCAATAGCCAAGAACCACATGTCATTCCATCAGACAGCAATGGAAGACTTGCTTTCTCCAAATGCTGCAGAACAAGCATGAGAGCTCGCGTTGGTTGATTGCTAGTGCCATAATTTTTGTCACCTTTTTCCATTACATAATCGTGACGATAATCATCAGCCAATGCTCGTGCAAGAGATTCTGTTATATTAACTTCAAGAGATTTCGAATAAAATGCATTGTCCTTTGGGGACAGTTGCTTATAAGGATTGTTATCATTAGATTTATAGAAAGAAGATATCCTTCTTAAAGCAGCAATGTCAATTCGGAGAATGCTAGCAGACAGACCACATAACTCCAGAAGCAAGGCACAGGACGCCACAAACACTGTGTCCTCAAAATGCACAACAGCAAGGGGTATGACCTGAACATCAGAAAGAAAAATGCTTGAGGATGGCATCATAACCAGCCATAAACGAAAGAATCTCTCTTACATTTTTAACCCTGTAGGTCCTTCGCTCGGGTTATATATAGCCTAACAACTTTTAATTCTATCAGCCTAGGTAGCACCTTCGTGGAAACGTCGACTCACAAGTTTTCCGAAAAAAGTACCAACACTACTCGTCCTCACCACTCTGATGAAAATATTTTATATATTTTTTTGTTGTTTATTTTCATACTGTAAAGTAAATTAGTTTTTGTTAATTCCATCGCGTTGACAATATCTCCCTGCATGTAGGCAATGTATCTCCCATGACATCAGCTACGTCCAACGATATAACCAAAAAATAATTTGGACACACCAACTCCCATTTCCAATAAGTATCGATGTTCAACATTGTGTATCTCCCAACATGTTGACTGTGTGATGACATGCCCAACTATATAAAAACAAAATATATAATTTAGACATGCCACAGTGTTTATGCCATACACCGGGAGAGTATTGGTGCATACTAGCTATCAGTCTTTGGATTAATTGTCATGTCGGAAACTGACTCGCCCCACCGGGAGAATGTTGGTGCGTCCTAGCTATAAACCCATAGCTTTACAATGACAATTTTAAAAGGTTACACATTCAGTACTAGACACGATGAAAAGTGTGCTCTAAATAATATTTTTAACAAACCTTTGAAAGTGCAAACACAAAACTGCAAAATTGAATGAGGTCTCAAGTCTCAGCCCCTGTTTGGTTTATATAAAAATAAAAATTTTAATAAATTTTAATAAAAGATGATGAAATATGATGTTGAAAAGTTGATAAATTGATAAAAGTATGTAGAAAATGAATTTGAGGAAAAATGAGCTTTAGAGAATTGGGGCCAAACAGGGTCAATATTCTATACCTCAAACAGGGTTCAAACTTGGTGAAAATGTAGTTGATGCATATTTCCAAGGTGATAAAACAATATATCCCAAGATTACCCCTCTAGAAGTAAAATAGTAGCGTCATTTTAAAGATTCGTTGTCTATATTATTGAAGATAAGATTTAAATGGTATACAAACTCTCTAACAACTTAAGCTTTTATATCAAGTAGTTCGACATGATAGCAGAGTAAACAAAGGTCCTAAGTTCCAGTGTCCTTGCCACCCATGTTTTAAAACTTCTGCATGTGTACAACTTTAATGGAACATGTAAGGGGTTCATATTGAAGATAAGATTTAATGATATACATGTGGCCATCTTTACAAGCTTAGGTGCAACATATATTTATAAAATAAGAGTTTAAGGCCAACTTATTAAAAGGGCAGTTTGAGATAAACTATCAAATGTTGAATCTTGAAGTAATATCGCATACCGTTTTCCATTGTCCATCATATTCTCGGTACATGAATTAAATCTATCATGTCTGCAGTTGTACTGAACACAGAACAACTGAATCGAAGCAAGTTTCAGGAAGAAAGGCTCAGCCTATCATTATAATCCAATTAACACATGATTTTCACATACAATCAAAACATAACAGCTTGCTGGCAATGGACTTCACCAGCGGTAATAATGGAAATTCAGTCAATCATCAAACAACTAAATGCCATACATGCACACCAATGCACAGAGAGAGAGAAGAAAAAAAGGAAAAAGACCATGGAGATAATCTTTGAATAGAAAAGAAAGTAATTCTCTACAATATTCTTAGTAAAATGATTTCCTTGTAGTTTTAGAGAACCATGCATTTTGGAAAGAGATTCTACCAGAACAAAGGAAGCAAGCACATAAAATGAAACAAAATTTGGCATTCCCATTGCAATTTATAGATGGCATTTTCTATTTCTCCATGTATGAATTAAAAAAAAAATATATATATATATATATACCCACACACATATATATTATAATTCTTACAGATGAGAGAAGAGACCCCTCGTTCTGAGTTATTGGTCCAAGCAAGGCATGCACATCTGATTGGACATTTGTTTGCTCATTTAAAGAGGCCACAGTTCGCCCGTTGAATGTGTTTTCAGACTTCAACTTTTGGACCCTTGCAGCAAGAAGATGATTGAAGGCTGCCATTGCACGACCACGATGCAAATAGTGCTCAAGTCCTGGCCCAGTTTCCTGAAGCCAATCAAGAAAATTACAACATTAACGTACAGGGTTTAAAGCTGAGATTAAAAAGACAAAATAAAATGAAAAAACAGAATACGGGCTCTACAATTCATCCTGTAACCATTGGGGTGGGGTGGAGGGTGGCGGAAGCATCTCAAAATTGAGATCCTGACATTTTTCAGGTAAATCTGTACTTCCTGAGTTGCTTATTGGGGAAATGTCAAAGTTCAAGAACTTTCTTGCCATGGAAAATTGAAATTTTTGAGATGAAGAGATCAGTCAAACCTCTAACGAAATTGCATATATTTCCTCTTTTATGTGTTTTTGGACTGCGACTTCCCAGGACAAGGCACTGATCTCAGCATGATCACTGGAATTTACTAAATAATAGATATATCTCTCTATAGAAAATTCTCCAGTCTGCGGATCCACTAGTGATTGCCATCCAATTGGCCCCTGTTTTGACAGAAAGAAAGGCTGGGTGCTGTCAGAAACACATCCCAGATGCATCCAGAATGTTTATGGTGTTAATCGCAAATTGGCTACATTCTAACAAGTTTTCGCGAATTAATTGCACGCATAGATATGAAGCAAGCAGAAGTTCAGTAAAAATGCTACATTCTTTTAGTTTCCGTTACAGATAATTAAACCATTTTTCCAACAAAATACAACTAATCAAGCCCAGTTCAATATTAACCTGAATATACAGCTGAATCAATCTCCGGAGAGCCTTTGGGAACCAGCAAGGGACCATCTGCAGTAGTGAAGTGTCATGTGCAGAAGAGAAGAATACATTTTCCCTCCAATTCAAGTAGTCTAATATGTCAGAAACACCAGACACTGTAAACCAAAGAAAATAATTAGGGACCAGATATGATTGTGGTTGGAGATTTTATTCTATAGGATTATTTCATGTAGGGACAATAGATAGGGACCAAAGTAAATTAAGAGCATAAGGTTCACCTGTTGTTTTCGGAGCAAAAACATTGTAAGGACCTTGTCCAAAACAAGCTGTGACAAGTGTGCGCCATAACGTGGGGAACCGCTGAAGGGCAGGTCTAAGGTTTTCCAAAGTGCATTGATAGGAGCTATAATGTCTGTTAACACTACCACTGCTTAGGCATTCTTGCAAAGGAATCGGAGCAAACATTAATGTGGCTAAAGCCGCTATTTCCCCTGCTCCTTCTGCTATATCATCAACAGTTCGTACAATGTCGTCAATCTCCAAAACACTAAGATTACTCCCAGAAACTAAATTACGCGAAGCAACAGCTCGGGCATTAGAAAACGATGCGTCATACTCTTTCCCCTTAACCCTTAGCAAGATCAGCCATTTCACCCACTCGTTATCACCCTGAAGAAACATGCCACAAGAATAAATGATTAAAACCTTGAACTGACATGAGTCAGCATATTACTCATAAATCAAATCCATCAGAAAAGTACAAAAATAATCAATTATACACTTTTAAATGTCAATGTATTAACATGTAATACGTATCCACCTTCCACAGTATGCACATCTTTAAATAAATAATAATAAATTGAGCTTTAACAAATGATATATAAATGCGACACTTCTAGATAGTGAGTTCATCAAAGTGACAAGCTTATGGAAGTATATTCAACAGAGAAAAATATCAAGTCACTTACAGCTGCATCCTGTAAAACAGAAACATAATTTTGGTCTGCACCCAATTTATGATGGTCAAGGTAAACATCCAGAAGGTTCAGCAAGTTATACTGCGCACAGAAGTGTATGAAAACTTTATGCAAGGCTTGGACAGCATCAGGATTAACCGATACATCACCAATAACAAGTATTGAATCTGAAGAGCTGTCAACAGATCCATCCAGGAAAGAATTATCAGGCATGCCTTGTATAAAACCTGATCGTGCCAGTAGATACACAACCTCTGCAGTACAATGCCAGAAATCCTTTAAGAATATAAACTTTTTGGCAAGCTGCTGTTCCATAAGCATTCTTAACCAGGAGGAGCTCACATTATTGGTGGGAAATCTGAACACTCTGATTCTAGGGACATTCATACACACAGCATCAAGCTCTTCAAGGAAGTTTGGGTAGTTATACTCAGAAAGTTCCCCACCATACTCAATAGAAGAAGCCGAATGTAGACCATCCATACTGATGCTGAGGCTTCCGCTAGATAATGCATAAGACGGAATTACCTCTAGTAGCTTGGAAACTTCAGCCCAGTTATTGTGGCATACGTAATACTCAAGTTGTGATTCCCACAATACATTAACACCCATATGAAGTGGTTGGTCCAGCACTACCTGCACAGCAAGAAGATTTTTTAACAGTCGGGCAGTTCTTGAGAAAATTTACCTCATATCCTCGAAATGAATCAAAAGCTCAGTCCTTACTAGGGAGCATCTTTTGGCAAGCCTATGCCAGTAACATTTTTGTGCTTAAAATATGTTGCACTCAGTAAGTTTCATTTAAAATAATCTTTGCCAATGGCAAGCAAATGGATCCACATATATCTCTCTATGGAGAGTGGAATAGAAGAAATATAATGGGTGTATAATTGTCTTTTGATCCAGACTTCCATTCGAGATAATTTAATATGAAAAGGAAATAATCTCGAACTTTTTATTTTTGTACTGGGGAGAGTGCAAATAATATGTACACATTGAAGTTCCAAAGAACAAAAAACATGAAGTATTAAAAAAATATTTCATCCATACTGATCTTTAAAAGGAATTTATTCTCAAACAAATGAACTTCATTAGCCTGGCCGGGGCAAAGGAGTCGAGCTGCTCTGAAACTGATTGACTATCATGGTGGGCAACATTTTTGGTCATTCAAGCTCATCTGCTTAACATCTCTATAAAATAATTTATGCACTAAAGTGTTAACTATATAACAATCAAAGTGTTATTCCAGTGAAGCTGAGGCCGGTTACAACAATCTCTTTTCGCCAGTATCCATATTACCTATTCTAAAAGGTAGAAGGATCCCGAATCTTTTGTAACTACCTCAGGTCATGTTTATTATCTTTTTTCTCTTCTAGAATGTTCTATTTGGATTGCGTCATTCTTGTAAGCGTTAGATGCTTTAGTTCTAAGCATGACATTCCCCTACTATTAAGATTTTATTCACTTAATTTATATTCAATTGTTGTCACCTCCAATTGTTGCCATATAATATTTCTTTCCCTTTCCGTGAGATCACACATCCAATTTAATATACTCATTCCAGGGAGAGTCCTTAAGATCAACTGGAAAATATAAGTATCTCAAGATGTAGACTAATTCATCATATCTATCCTGAAGCATATTTTGAAAGATGTAACAAACATTAAGAGGCATTAACTACAATTTTGGGAACTTTAACATGTGACTTACCCGATCAATAATTCTTTGATCCCAAGCATCTGACCATGCTGCAGCAGCAATCCAATAAGCTGCTTCACTGCTGTCATCATCAACTCCAGTAGGGATAGACTGTTCATCAATACTTGTCCACGAACCCAAAACAACTCCATCAATCTCACCACACGGAATGATAAGACTTTTGTATGGTGGATGCAGTAGGTGCAAATTGATATCCCCTGGTGCATCTACATTTGATACTCTCTTGAGCTCTTTCCATCGGCTACCAAAAGTCTTCCAAAAACTATTGCAAGGATACACTCTCTTTTGCAAAAACATCCAAGTGTCAGTTCAAAAGCACTTCTAGTTGTAAAAACTTTGAGATATATAGAAAGGAATATTAAAACTGTCCCACATGCTGTAATGACTCAATTCTAGCTTTTAAGGATATAATAAGAGAACTACGATCAGTGTATTCGATTAGTCATACAATGGATGCTAAATTTTTTTTAAGCTAGAGGTACATAGTTGCTCGTGTAACAAGCAGGGTATTCAATGTACGTTGTTATCTTACTCAGCACTTAAAACATATTGAGCTAAACATGTTGTATAAGCACAAATTCATTGTTTTGAAATAACAGATTCATATTATGTTCCATATGCCTAGTCTTATCATACAACAGATCAAAGAGTGCAATATCCATAATTTGTTCTTCATGCAAAAAAATGGATGACAAATGCTGGAATTTTATGTAAAGAAAGGTGATTTACTTGAACTAAACCCTTTTTAAGATTTATAGCCATTATGCAGAGATTTTCTGTACTTGCTGAGATTTAGGAAGGCATAAGTTTCTCAAATTGAATCTAAAATTCAACTCAAGAAGTTTGATTAGTAGTTAGGTTAACCTTGCTTCGAAGTACCTTGCAACTAGGTGGACAAGTCGTAATCCATGTATTAACTATATAAATCACAAGAACTTGATTCATAGTTAACATATCAAGATCCAGAAATATTAGGAAAGCACGTTGTATAAGGTTTGATTCTTAATTGAAGAGCGGGATTTGTAGTTTACAAATATGAAACATTCACACTTGTTTGCGTAGCATAGTCAGTTAATAGTTTAATAAAGATAAATAAAGGTCAACTGTATAGATTCTGACAGGTTCGCAATTGTTTAAATAACTGACATAAATAGTAAATCTCGATCAGCTTTGTATCAAAAGAAACTCTCAAATGATTGGGTTCTTAATAAAACAGAAGTCATCGGGTTGTATTCTGGACATTCTATTATGACAAGAGTACTGTCTAATACTCTAAACACCATTTGTGTTGTATTTAACTGCATCTAATATGCCATAATTATTATTACTGGTTCTCTCGGCATATATTTAGCCCATGTTCAATAGGGATTAAAATTTAGATTTTAATCTAAGTCAAAGTCAACAATTAACTTTAACTACATATTTCATGCTTCCCACAACTTTTCAACCACACATTTCATCAACTTTAATCAAAATCTAATAAAAATCTGATTTTAATCCTCACTAAATAGGGGCTTAGTTCCAAAGTAATAATAAATTGTGAGCACTTGATTTAAGTTCTTGTAAACAAGACAAATGATGTGGATGCATGAAATCTTTTGATTGTTGAATTTGTGAGCAGGAAATGGGTCGAGGATGGCTCAAGATCATCCAAGCGACCAATGGGTTTCATCAGTTTGACATGTCATCCTTAGTGTTCCGATCCCTCTTTGTGTAATAATGGAGAGTTGCACGGTGAGTGGGGTGGAGATTTGGCAAGATACACTTGGATATTTCGAGTTAAATGAACAATCAGGTGGAAAGAGCACTGGAGGCATGATTTGGAACATGATATATCAAATGATAAGCAACTGTGTTCATTTAGTATCCTTCACAATAGCTATCATTTCTTATCCTTCTATAATGTGATAATGATATAAACTGCATATTAAAATATCCAAATATGTTGGAAGGTACATGCTTTATATGCACACATGCATGGATTTGTGATCCTCATTGAGCCTAGTTTATTTTGTTCTCTTAATGGAGAATATTCTAGATCATGGATACGAAGATTTTTTATTTGCTTGGAAGCATTAAAGATTTGCAGTGTGAAGGGGAAAAAAGGAAATTCATGTCTCAAATTCTAGTATTTTAGGCGTGACAAATACCTCGATAAGTGAAAGTATCTCCAAAATCTTCAACTCATGCAATCCAAGGTATCCATATCTTTTCATCTCTTCAGCTATTTGCACCCGAAGAGATCTCCTAACAGTGCCAAAAACTAACTGTCTGAGGGCGGTTTCAACATCCTCCCCAAGCTTTTCCAATGTTGCCATACCAAGGCCAATCTCACCCTATACATAACAGGAATAATTAGTACAAAATGCATTACTCTTTCAATCAAAGAACCAGAATCAACCAACCTTTAGAAATAAATCATAAGCAATTGCTCTCCCAGCAACACGGACTTCATTAAAGGTGTCATGAGTTTCTGTTCCAGGGACCAAATCCTTCGAATGTTGAAGGTGCAGTTTGAGTACGGCCAGAGGAAGACGACCAGAAAGCAGAGCATCTTTGACAATAGTTTTCAGGTCCAAATTGCTTAGCTCCCATCGTGCAATCATCTCTTTAGGATTCTCCGAAGGAAGAATTCTTTTTCCAAGAGCACTTCCCTCAGAAACAAGGACTGCTGCTCGGAAGTTCTCTAAATCTTCATGGGTTTTGGTAGCAAAAGTATCAGCAGGCATTAAAGCGAGGTTTTTGGCACTAATTAAATCTGTTTCTGGTGCAGGATATGATTTTTCCAATTGGTTTGATGCATCTAATGACAACGCATTTGCTGAAACAACTAGATCTTTGGAGTCATCCTCAGACAAATCCCTATTCACCAAACTCGAATCCCCCAAACCATCGACCTAAAACCAAGAGGGGGGGGGGGGGGGGACCACATGAATTATGGTGCTATATAAACTTTGTCACACCAAAAATTAGCAAAATTAGATGAGACCATACCAATCCTTGACTTGGCCTTTTGAATTTGGCATTAAGTTGCCGCTGCAAATTCCTGATTATCACCAGAAACTGAGCCATATCACGGAGCCTTCTCGAATTTCCCACACCATCATGTTTTTTACACGTCGGGTCTGGTGGAAGAGAAAATTCTTGATTACCTCTAGAACCCCTTGGCTCCAAAGTATCTTTGTTATGCTGCAGCAGACCATATTTACGTATGACCTTGGTTGCAAAAGCCGTGGCAAATGCAAGAAGCCTGATCACAATATAAACATAAGAACTATCGAACACTTGATAAATTAAACAAGACCAGCCAGTAAATTTTAGCTAAACCTCCTTACATCTGATATCCCATTTGTACTGATTTAATAGATTATTTAGACAGCATTTGAAGACTGCTCAATATCTGAGAAGAAATTCTAAGGTGTCCCACCCTCTCATCATTCAATTAAACACCAATCCATTTCACCCATAATCATTTTCCAGCAAAAAAGTTAACCCAACCCCACCCCCGCACACCAAAACCAAAAAAATAAAAAATAAAAAAATCTCTTTGGTAACCAAGCCATAAGGCTAATAGCTGAAAAAACAAATCAGCTGATGAGCAGTTTTCAATTAGTGTTTGTTCAATTACATATATATATCAATGTTATATTGATTGATCATGTGTTATTGAGAAAAGAGATTTTCCCTCGTCACTTTCTATATTTATGTCCGTCTCCCTTCTTTTCTGTTCAAGTTGGTTTTCTTTTGGTCTAACTCACTTCCAATTTTCAGAAAGAGCTTCAGGAATACGAGTATCCCAATCCATAGGTCTAAGATCTACATCTGAACATTGGAAGGTCTGAATGATCAACTCTCCAACCAGTTGTTCAAATCGATAGATCTCAATATTTTATTTTAAGAAATGGAAAACCCTCTTTCTTAATTATTCCTATCTTATCAGTCTGAAGTACAACAGAGCTCCAGAGGATAAACAGAGTACAGACAGTTCCAACAAGATATAGACAAATCTATTTTTCATTCATCTACTCTATGACTGGAACATAAGAGGATACATGTTACAACTCGATTATTAAGAAGAAATATGGCGAGAAGCACCTGTTAAAAAGCCCAATGTTCAAAACAGAGATAAAAGAAGCCATTATGTCAGCTCTGAAGCTTCCTACTTCTGAGTGCACATGGTGCAAAGACATTTACTACTATTGGTTAAAATCTTTGAATGATATGGTGATCTCCAAGGTGTCTAAGTATGCATAAAAGCTGAGTTCAATTCTCATCCCACCTATTCAAGGGAATTCAGCCCACACGAGGTGCATGAAAGATATAAAACATGATATCCTTCCCTATCAAGCAGTTAACCTATTAGATGAGGTACCGATAGCAAGTAGAGGGAGAATCGTCCTAGACAATTAATTGAGAAGAAATTTATGAGGATGTCCGAAAAACGAGATATAATAATTCATAAACATTAATTGTATCATACCTTAGTGCAGCCGAAACCTCATTGTCATTGCTAACTTTATAGAACATCAAATAAATGGCAGCAAAGAGCACCCTCATGATACCTTCCTCCACCAGATTGACACCCATGAGCATTTCTAAAGAACTATTCATACAATCAAGAAGCATAGACAAGTATAAATAGCTAACATGTAAGACAATAATTCATAGGTTCTTAAATGAAAAGGAATGACACGTTCATTAAAGGCCAAAAAATACAGAATCTTACGACTCAATCTCCTCGAATTTCAGGTAGTCCAAAGCCAACTGCAAGCGACGGATCCTAGAAATCTGCAAGTCCCACCCTGAAAATTTTCAAAACATCACCTTTTGTACATAATTTTTTTCTTTCTTTTGTTTTTCCTATTCTCTTCATCTGTACAGGAATAAAGCATTTCAAAATTCAATGAAATTACATGGCATTTAATGAGGGAACTATTAGAAGCAAATGATGAAATCAAAAAATAGAAAAAATAAACATTAGGCATTTCTCTCTCAGAAAGAAGCTCAATTCTCACTTATCCCACAAATACTTTTTATACTCTTAAGTACTAAAGAACTTGCACATTCGAAACTAAGTAATTCTGGAAAAGCGGTTTTATGTTTTTCTATACTGTAGATGCCGCCTTCCAAGAATTAACCACATATACATATCACACAAATTTTCTAGATGAGTAAAATTGCAAGTTCGCCAAAGCATTTTATTGTCAAGTATGGAAGGACGGGCTACATTAGGTTGTTTATTTATAAAAAATTAGCAATCTCACACACAAAAAATATTGGTGTCAGAAGCCATGAAAGAATCACACATTACCACTCATCAGATTTTTATTGTGAATCATTCAGGAAATCACAATATCTACACGTGGACAGCATATATACTGATTCCTATGTTGTTGAAAACTAATAAACAATATCATTATATTTGAATATGACACTGCTGATTCAGTCGGAATAAGAAGATACACTACACCTCGCAAAAATAATCTCAAACCACGGACAAATTGTTCTCTTAACACTATGTAACACATAAAATCTTTCCTCTCTCTTTTATTTTATTTTTTTTGTCTTTTATTTTCCCTCGTCATGCAGGGTGGTATAGATCTCAAACTTGATGTGATACTTACATTTTTAAAAGGTTAATAAAAATAGGAAATACACTAGAATTGCACATTTTCAGTACAAAAGCATAGAATAAGAGCCGAAACAAAAAGTGTGTATACGGAATTAATTCCTATATTGGTAAAAGAACACACACAAATTAGGAAGCATGGGTACCATGATGCATGCTTGGAATGGACAGGAGAACAAAATACTCTGTTTAAGTTCACAACACCAAAAACACAGTGACCAATAAGCATTTCTGCTTATCAACAAATCTGTTTACAGTGACTGGAATAATAATTCATCAATAGTAATTAAGCCAAGAAATGCATATAGCATAAAGTCTTACTCTTGCTGTCTCATAAAATAAGCAAAAAGGTGAAGTTTATCAAATCTTATGGGTAGAGAAGGTAATTGATTTAAGGAATTGACTATAATAACAATTCACTAGCAGGACTACTCCTTTCTCCATGCCATACATAATAAATAATCTAAGACTGTAGTAATGGGCAGCGACAACGATACACTCGTAATTACATGAGGATGCAAATAGGTTATGGCCAAGTAACATAGAATTTATTTTCCACAAACATAGCACATAGCACACAAGTGCAGGCACATATATCACATGTTTAACACATTAAACCTAAAGGTTTCAAAGAGGCACATTTTTCCAAGAAAAGTCCGATATTCCATATTCCATCAGATCAATACGTTTTTCCAAGAAAAGTCCCATATTCCATATTCCACCAGAGAAATACATTTTTCCAAGAAAAGTCATATATACCATATTCGATCAGAAAAATGGAAGGTCATAGCACATTAAAGAGAAATAGGTTTCTGTTGCTCTTGGTCATCAAGTTCTACATTAAATCATTTCACTCCCTCACAGTCATGTGAAACATCTTTTGTCTTTCTTCTCTTTAATAAAATTCAATTTTGCAAAAACCAGGTTGAGCTTCAATGAAAATTTGTGTAACATCCCAGTACACTTGGTATGATATTTTGCCCACTTTGGGCCTAGGCCCCATGGTTTTGTGCTTAGACTTTCACCCGAAAGGCCTTATACCAAGTGGATTGGTCCACTTATAAATCAGTCATATATTCCTTCCCCCAGGCAATACGGGAATGTGGCTACTACAATCACCATACCTTAGGGAATAGGGTGCCCAACATCCTCTTTGGCCAAACTTTTGACTGGGTTTAGAATCTGATACCATGTATTACATTTCGGTCCATATGGTATGATATTGTCAATTTTGAACCCAGCCCATACGGTTTTGTTCTTGGGCTTTAACCCTAAAGGCCTCATACCAATTTGGAGTGGTCCTCTCACTTATAAATCGGTCTCATTTTTTCCAGGCAATGTGGGATTGTGGCCAAGAAGAATGAAGATTTTAAATGTTTTGGGGGTGTTCATTCAAGATCTGCAATTATTTCTTCAAACGACAATTTTATCATTTAAGGTGAGATGCTAAGTGAAAGAAGTTGGTTTTTCCAGTGTTCTTATTATATTTATAGTTATAATTTCAATCAATAATGTTTTTAAGCCGTTATGGATCCTACTAGTGGAGTAGACTGGGTTAATCATTCTCAATAGTGTATAGATCAGCTGAAATGGAACGATTATAGAAATTCTTATATATGTTGTACGTGCTGGAATCTTCGTTTGCATGATTCGATAATTCTTAGAACTAGACGGTGGTATGAAATACTTATATTTATAAAAGGTATCAAAGCCTGAGTCCAGTCAGAAGTGTGGACAATGATTTCGGCCCCATAAGTTAGGGAGATTGTAGCAGGCTAGCAGCCATAAACTCACAGCCTAGGAAAGGAAAATGGGACTGATTTATAAGTGAAAGGATCATTCCCAATTAGTATGAGGCCTTTTGGATGAAAGCCCAAGAATTCAAGCTAGGCTCGAAGCGGACAATATCATATCGAGTGGATTGGGATATTATATATTGACCAGAGAGAGGCTAGAATTGAGACGTTTGTGAGGAATGGTAAGACAACTTTGTTGAAATATAACATGTATTTTGTAATAATGGAGGAAAAGAAGGTCTGGAGAGGCACCATAATTATACCCCCAGCAGTTGCGTTTGGGGAAAAGGAAGAGAATGACAACAGATCACATGTAAAAAACATCACCAGCAGTGGGAGATCAAACATGTAGGATACTGCAAAGAGGGAGATTTATATGCTTCATAGAAGCTTGTGCAGTTCACTAGATCAGTCATTAACTGACTCGTATGGGAAAATTAGCATCCCCAGTGTCATGAATTAGATTTGGTCACGATTGGTAAAATTCGTGTCAGCTAGGGTCTTAACACCTAAGAACTGAGTAACTAAACTGACCAGACTTCAAGAGCCAATAACACAGGTAGGAAATGAGCAGATTACTGAGAATATGAATACAATTGTACCGCTGGAGAGAATCTTAGCAGACAACAAGAATAAAAGAAAGGAACTGGTACTGATGTTGATAATTATGGAAACAGGACCAACTTGATTGTGGAAATTGCTGGAATGACGGAGAGAGCTTCATAGGGTGGGCAAGGAACACAAACTGAATTTGAGTTTAATTCTCAAAAAGGATAAGTGCTGATTGAATAACACAAGTCATCAAGGACACGGACTCAAGTGCTCAAGACAACAATGAAGCTCAGATTTAGTCTCCAATTCTGCTTCTACCAAGGATATCAAACCAATCAAAGGTCTTCATTCCAAAAGGATTACCAAGAAGATGCCGGAAAAGAAATTTGATCGAGCCAAATGTGGTTGCCAATTATTTGAGGAATTGGAGGCTAGCAGGGGACAAGAGATGGGCACTCCAGGAGGTAAGACAAGAAGAAAGAGCGATCATGAGCTTAAACGGCTTGAATGTTCAATTAACTATGATATTAAGGGTGGCGATTCGAGGAGAGGCCTGACAGGGAGGGATGATGAACTGTTAAGATGACTTTGAAAATAATTAGTTGGAACATACGGGGGGCTTAATGAAGCTGGGAAAATGGTGGAAGTTCGAAATCTGTTAAGGGGATGGAGGGCTGGCCTTGTATGCTTACAAGAAACAAAGTTGGAGGTTGTGTCGAGGGACGTTGTGAGTAGCCTATAGGGGGATAGCATGTGGGGTTTCAGTCTGTAGGGTCATCAGGGCCTTGGGAGGTATACTGATAATGTGGCACACTAGAGTCTTTAATATGGAGGAGGTTAGCGAAGATTCATTTTCTCTATCTATTTCATTTAAAAATATTGAGGATAGTTTCCGGTGGATGTTTATAGGTGTCTATGGGCCTAATGTAGATGAGCAAAGAAGTGGATTGTGGGTTGAATTGGCCGGAATGATGGCTTGGTGGAACCTTCCAATGTGTATTAGGGGAGATTTTAATGTGATCCGCTTTTCTACTAAGAGGTCTAGTGGGGGGAGATTAACAAGGGCTATGGAGGACTTTTCAAACTTTATCAGGGAGAACATGTTGGTGGACCTGCCTATAATTGGGGGAGATTTTACTTGATTATCTAGTCGGGATCAACCTATCCTATCCCGAATAGATCGATTCTTGGTATGTGGGACATGGAAGGCTAAGTATCCAGAGGTTATTCAGAGGAGAATGGAGAGAGTGTATTTTGAAAATTTCCCTATCTCGTTATCTAGGAATGTGAGGCGCGGTGGTAGAAGACATTTCAAGTTTGAGAAAATGTGGCTTAAAGTAGAAGGTTTTGGGGAACGAGTACGAACTTGATGGGCATCCTATGCCTTCAAAGGATCTCCCAGTTATGTATTGGATTGCAAATTGAAGGCATTGAAAAAGGATCTAAAGCGTTGGAATGAGGAGGAGGTGGGGAATGTTAACCATCGCAAAAATCAATGCTTATCAAACATTGAAGAATTGGACAGGAGGGAGGAAAGTCGAGGACTGGAAGGGGATGAGAGGGCGAGACGGAGAAAATTAAGGGAAGAATTGGAGAGGCTAGTGGAGATGAAGGAGACTGCTTGGCGTCAGAAATCTAGGATCACGTGGTTGAAAGAAGGGGACAAATGCACCCGATTTTTCCATAGGGTCGCGAATTCCAATAGGCGCAACAATTCTATCAATATATTGAAGGTAGATGGCGTTACTTACAAGGATCCACAGGATATCGGGACACAGATGGTAAGCTTCTATCAGAATCTTTATCATGAGCAGTTTGACTGGAGGCCAGAGTTGGAAGGGCTAGAGTTTTCTTCTATTCCTGAGGAGGATGCCAGTTGGTTAGAAAGGCCAGTTATGGAGGATGAAATTAGGGAGGTGGTGTTCAGCTTGAATGATGATAAGGCAAAGGCACCAGGATCAGACGGATTTTCATTCTCATTCTATAAGACTTGTTGGGAAGTGGTGCGATCGGACATTGTTGATGTCCTTACTTATTTCTTTCAGTGTGGAAGTTTCTTGAGAAGTGTCAATACTACATTTATTGTGCTGATTCCAATGAAATCGGAAGCGACTAATATTAAAGACTTTCATCCCATTAGCATCGTGAGCAGAGTATACAAGATTATCGCGAAAATTTTAGCAAATAGATTAAAGGAGGTGATGGGAAAAGTGGTGTCTAAGTTTCAAAATGCTTTCATTAAAGGGCGCCAAATTTTGGATTCAGTACTTATAGCAAATGAATTCATTGACTCACGACTGCGCCTAGGTGTTCCTGGAATGTTATGCAAGCTTGACATTCAGAAGGCTTATAATCACATCAATTGGGGATTTCTCTTGTATATGCTCAGGCGATGTGGCTTTGGGAATAAGTAATGTTGGTGGATTCAGTTTTGCATCTCCACGGTTTTCTTTTCAGTTATGATGAACGGCATTTTGGAGGGTTATTTTTGTAGCATCAGAGGATTGAGGCAAGGGGATCCTTTATCCCCATTGCTATTTGTCATTGTAATGGAGGCTTTCAGTAGGATGCTTGAGAAGGCTGTGAGGGAAAGTTTACTGAGGGGCTTTATGGTTTAGCAGTTGCAAGTATCTCATTTGCTCTTCGCAGTCGACACATTAATTTTTTGTGATGCAGACGTGGAGCAAGTTTGGAACTTGCGGCATTTGCTCCTGTGTTATGAAGCTGTATCTTGATTGAAGATAAATCTAGGGAAATATGAAGCTATCACAGTGGGAGAGGTGGATAATGTGGTGGAGTTGGCTGCTATATTTGGATGCAGGATTGCGCGATTGCCTATGACATATCTTAGGCTGCCTTTAGGCGCACGGTTTAAAAGTACATATATTTGGAATAGTATTGTAGAAAGGGTAGAGAGAAGGCTAGCGGGATGTAAGCGTATGTACCTCTCAAAGGGAGGCTGTGTTACTCTCATAAGGTCTACATTGTCGAATCTCCCTACTTACTTCATGTCACTGTTTCGTATCCCTGTTGCAGTGGCAAAAAGATTGGAGAGGATATAAAGGGATTTTCTTTGGGGAGGATTAGAAAAGGGGAAGAAATTATATTTGTTTAATTGGGGTGTCGTATGTTCTCCAATGAGATTGGATGGTCTCAGATTGAGGAGTCTCGTACTGTTCAGTAAAGCGTTGTTGGGTAAGTGGTTGTGGCGATTCGGAACGAAGAGGGGGAGCTTTTAGAGAGAAATTATAGGAGCAAAATATGGTGTTATGGTGGGGGGAATGTTGCTCAGTCGAGAGTCGAGACTCTTGTGGGGTAAGTCTGTAGCGGTATATTAGGCGAGGGTGGAGCGATTTTCAGGAGAGATTGACTTTTGTAGTGGGGAATGGTAATACTATCAGTTTCTGGGATGATTGTTGGTGTGGAGATCAACCGTTAATGTTGAGATTTCCTTCTTTGTATCGTATTGCGTTTATGCCATCTGCCATGGTGAATGATGTTTTAGATATACACAATGGGAGTATCAGTTGGAATATTGCTTTTATACGGGGTTTGCAGGACTAGGAATTAGATGACTACGCGCTATTTTTGACATCTTTATATGAGGTACAAATCAGGGCAAGAGATGGTGATTGCAACAGGTAGAGGCCGGCACGGGATGGTATGTCTTCAGTCGGCACTTTCTTTAAATCGTTATTAGGATCTGAGAAAAGCTCTTTCCCCTGAAAAGCTGTGTGGAAGAGTAAACTGCCACTAAGAGTGGCATTTTTACTATGGACATTCGTGAGCGGACAGGTGCTAATGGCGGAAAACCTATGAACAAGGGGTTTTTATGTTACAGAGTGGTGCTATATGTGTAGGAAAGGTGGGGAGACGATTGATCACTTGTTCCTCCATTGTGATGCTACTAGTCCATTGTGGAATGAGATTTTTGCATCGCAACATATGGATTGGACGATGTCAAGGCGTATGGAAGACGTGCTGAAGGCATAGGAGAAGAAAATTTCGAGACAAGGATAGCAAGCTGACACGGGAGCTTATTTCGGGTTGCATAGTACGGTGTGTATGGAGAGAAAGAAACAGCCACTGTTTTGACGAACAACAGAGCAACTTAGAGAATTATTTTATTTTACATTGTTTATTTGGTTTAATGCGGCGGTTACTAGGCAAATAAATGGGCCACCCAATTTTATGTAGTTTCTTTCGGATTTGTATAGATAATACACTTCCTGTGTATTATGATTTGATTAATAAAATTTCCGATTACCTTTCAAAAAAAAGAGGAAACGTGAAAACCAATAGAACTTAGGGTTCGTTTGATTGCCAATATTTTCCATGAAAAATGTGTTTTTCACTCAAATTCCTACTTTTATGCTTTTGACTGACAGTTTTTCCTATGGAAAACATTTTCCCACTTTTCGTCACGTGACCATATTTTCATCAAAATCAAGAAAAATATTTTCATTAGGAGGTGTGGCATTTTATTTTTCAGGGAATTCACTCTCTTTTTCTCTCTCTTATCCACCCACCAATAAAAAATGGATAAATATAATATTTTCTACGTTAAAAATTAAATCAATCAAACATATTTAATTGACAAATTCCATGCAAATAAGTTCTAAGCAATTGAATTGCCTAAAATTTATTTTCTTTCCATGCAAATTTCATGCTTGCAATCAAAAGCGCGCTTAGAGAAATTGAAGAAATCTTAAAAAATGTAATGTGGAAAGAAAAGAGAGGTAACAAGAGCTCTTACCTACTCTAAAGTACAGGATTCCATACTTCTTTACTACGAATTCTATACAAGAGACTACGAGGTCGATGGCAAAATACTGCATAAAGGCCATACATCTATCCAAAGTGCAGAGGGAAAAAAAGGCATGAAAAGATCATCATTCTGTTATTAGATTAAAAAATCCATTTCTTGGCAAACCAATAAGTATTTTGTATGAGCTGGAATGTACCAAAGAGAAGCAAATTATTAGGAACATAACTTTTTGGATTGTTGTAAGAGACTTGAATAAAACTCTGCATGCAATTCAAAAGAGGAAGAAAAACCAATCTTTCTCACATGGTATCAGAGACCGTAGGTTCTTCTGTTTTTCTTTCCTCTGCCATTATTTATATTTTGGCCTTAATTGCCAGAAGAACCAAGAGTTGCACGGCTTTCAGCAGAAGAAAAAAATCCAGATGGTAAAACTGAAGAATTGTGTGCTGGAACTTTTTTCTATGTCGTCCTTGGTTTTATTGGTAGAAGTTCCCTAAAATTAATTTTTTCCCCAGCTACCAATCCTTTTCGAAATTTTCAAAACCTCCAGAAATTCCTCTGCTAATATAACCCCCTCAGAACTCGCAAGAGAATGGACTGGCTAACCTTGCCCGTTCTGAGGATAAAGTTTTCAAGGAGAATACGCAGAATAAATTTAATAAGGATGAGATTGAATGACTCCTTAGCCTTGAATCACTAGATAGACCAAGAGCATTTTGTTTCTTGGTGCAATCAGGTGAGCATTCCTTAAGCATTTAACGCCTCTGAAGACCGTTGTTCTAGTGTTTGCGTGATTCACAGGAACAAAATAGACCATATGACAAATTTTTCTCAAAAAATAAAGATATAAATAAATTCTCTCTCACGTTGAATAAGTTAAGCTTTTAAATGATGTTCTTTACCATGGTAGCAAAGCGCAGTTAATCCAATATTGGGTTACACTTGATATCACTTTCATTCTTCACTGAGCAGCACATCAAGGCAAAAAAATTATGACAGTCTTAGCTCTCTGAATTAAGTTCTATTTTTGGTTCCTTGTTATTTATGGTGGAACTGGGGTGAAGAGATTTCAAACTCTGCTTTGGGTTCAAGAAGAAGTGTTATATCCATCACATCAATTTCCATTATGCAAATTCCCAAAGAAAGGATGTCAGTTCTCATCAGTAGGTGGGGTTGTTTCTATAGTTATACACTTAGCAAATCTGTCTTTACTTTGTAAATATTTTGCATGAGACGGCAGACCAGCACATAATTAATAGAATAGTAGGATCAGACTGTTAGGAAATCGCCATTTAAGTTATACATGTCCTTGATAATTACTTTACATGCTACTCAATACAAGATAAGAAAAACCAATGTTTCTCATACCTTTTCGCTTGTGTTTTTGATAATACACACACACTCTTTATGGTAAACCATCATTTATTTCAATCCAATTGCAAGAGGAAGATTCAGTATTTCGACAGAACATCACATTATGCATCACAATGACACAAAAGTAAATCAAGCAACGAAGAAGGTCACTTTAACACAGAGAGGTCAGAGCTAAAAAAACCGATTCCTTGACAGAATGTTCATGTCATTTAAACAGAAACACAATTTGACTTTATAGCTTCTGGAAAGCTGCCAATCATTCTAGTTAATGCTATAGATTCTTCCAGCTGGCATAAAGTCCCCTTGACAGACCAAAGCAAGATAAGCATCCAATCAGAGAATACCAATCAAGAACAATGAAACATAATTTGATTAAGTAATTCAAGATTGAAAGAGAAACAAATGCAGCAATCTTAAAGAAATTTAACAATTGCCAAAGAAGAAGACATCTTAGTACATCTAAAAAACTCGAGCTAACAGTTATAAATTATTTACAGATCAAAAGATGTGTACCATTTTCCAAGCATAACTGATCTGCCTCTTCAGGGCCTTCATATAAAAGAACTTTATCCAATATTTCCACTTTCCAAGGTGCCCAGATGTTTTTAATTCCTTCAGTTCCAAAAAGACTACCAGCTTGACATCTCATGCTGTTAGTAGAACTTGGTAGCTTATATCCAATTGCTTCAACAGGGTAAAAGTGTGAAGAAACTGAGAGAGAAGGGAGAACAACCGAAAGACCTTCTTCTGTCACTAAATACAAAAATCCATGAAAATTGCAGCCAACTGCTCCTTTTACATGGGCTTCCCTACCTCTCGCATTATAGCTGTTGTCATCACCCACAATGAAATCTACATGCAGATCTGAATGCGTAACCTCACAACTTTTTCCCAAGCAACTATGTTTTTTCATCAGCCGAGTGATTCCAAAGGGAGAAAAGCATATCACGTCATCTTCATTGGATCCACCTGGGGGAAGAAAAACTTTCCTCATATGGAGGGAAGAAAAATCAGTACTGGAGAACTTCTTCTGATCCAATCTCTGGGCTGTCTTATAAAAGTTAGCAACATGCAAGCCATACTGGCTCCTCTGATCCTTGAAATTACTTTCGTGGGTTTTCAGAAGCTCCTTACCCCTTAAATTACCCGTAAAGGAAGAGCTTCTATTCCCTGGTACATCCTGAAATATTGACATGTTTGAGAATGCCCTTTGGTAGCCAATTTCAGCGGCTCCTACCTCCCAACCAACCAATAGTCCAAGGCCTAGATGTTGATGTTGGTGGAGGAGATTCTCAAATGAAAAATAATCCTCTGGAATGTGGTCATCAGTACACACGACAAAGGTTACACCAGATTCGTCCATTACACCCAATACTGAGGAATTCGAAGAGGTGACAAGCCTCCTAAACCTTCTTTTACCGGTGAAACTACCAACGTGATGAAATGATTTTTCATGCATCTTATCTTTAAGAACATTACTGTCAATTTCTTGCTCCTCAGAACTTGGATTATAACCAAGTTGACAGATATGTGTAACATCAAGACACGTTACATACTCACCAGTTGTTGCCCCATAAAAGGAGATCAAGCCAGATGCACTAAGACAAATAAGAAAAGTATGAGAGAAACTAAAGTCTGTCCATTCAGATAATCTGCTCCTACCTGCATTTTCCTCAAGCTTTACCGAGCAAACCCACTGTATTCCCCAGTTGGCTAACCTGGCAACAGCAACAAAAAGTTGATTGCATTTTCTTTCATTTGCATCATTGGTGGTAACAGGTATGGGATCCCTCAATAAGAGGGCAAACCCGACTAACCGATGAGAATCGCCAGAAAATACTTTAATGCATTTACAAAAATTGTTCAACCCACTACTTACAGAGTTGGACAAATTATCATCTTCGAGGCCCATAATGGATGGACGTGAACAGGCATTTACAAATGTATTTTTCAGAGGATCATCAGGAGATATGTTACCATTCTCTTTTTCTAGTGACACAGGGCAGCTACCATGAAAAATGAAGTCTAAGAGTTGCGAATCCTGATCAAGAATCCTAAAGGAAATCATTTCTTTGGAGCAACACTTTGGAAACCTGGTATACATGCCATCAGCAGATTTCAGTGTTTCAACCTTAGCCAAGAAAGTGCGCAACCAGATTTTTGCAGCAACACTTGCCGACAAATCTTCCACAGCTTCCACATCGATACTATTTGGTGTTTCCCTAGATGCCTCAAAATGCAACTTGGATTCTCCCTGAACCTCTGAATTACAAGACAAGGTGGTAGATGGTCCCCAGTCTACCCACATCCCTTGCCCAAAATCACCTTCTTGTATACATTTTGTGACTTCATTAGTTTTACTAAATTCAGGAAAAGCATGAACAACCACCCCATGACTTCCGGACACAAAAAGTAGATCTTGAAATGGTGTATCTTCGTGCTGATCACATTTATCCACACATATGCCCCAGGCCACAGAACTTACATCAGAAATAAAACCGTAATTGCTATATCTTGGGAAAGTAATATCTGAAGTACAATTGTTACTGAAATCCAACTCTACTGGTTCAGATGTGCTTGAATTATTCTCCAGTGTGCCTGAAATACTGGGCACACTCAATTCTGGAGGATTTTGAAAGCTTGCATAATAATTGCTTTCAGGCTCCTTGCTTTTCATCCATCGATCTGCTGAAAAAGAGATATTGAATAAAGAGTGTTGAATACATAAATTTAAGGACAAAAATGATAGCTAGATATCAACCTTTAACTAAGGGAAGCAGCAATGCTTCAAAATTGTATGAAAGCAACAATAAGAACTCCCGTGTCGGTGAAAGAAAACCTTCACGAAAATCCAGAGGATTGTACTGAAATTCAGAGGGGGCCCATTTTCGCAACTGCAGTATCCTGAGGCCCTCATCATCATAAGAACAGTTGAAGTTCATATGGACCTGCATGAATATAAACAAAATGAAGCGAGCATTGTCAAATATGGAGCAAAGAAACCGAAATATATCAACTGGGAGATAAGCATACGAGAACTGAGGCTTGTCACGTAGTTTCAGTAGCAGAAATTCCCTACTAAAATGTCCAAGAAGTTACATATGAAATGCTCACACAGTTGCATCATTTTATTGACCATAACAATCATTCATTCAAATCGCCACAATCTGTGGCCGAAATAAAAAGGAAATGCGATTAATCCACTTCATCAAGTGCAAATCAACCAAATTAAAGGATGCAAGCAAGAGGGCCACTCCATTTCCCTCTTGGTAAATAAAATGGCAAGAGCCACGCGTAACATCCCACATCAAATCCAGAGTGTCAGATAATAAGGCAGCATTTGGAGACATATTAAAGTCTGAACGAATTCTCAAAACCACCCTCAAAATATCACACTCCACCAACTGCTATGTGGAACCCATTTTCCTTGGCCCAGTTATAAGCCATCAAGTAAAGCAGAAGCCTCATCATCTTCTACCGTATGAAAACCTACTAACTGCTTTGATTGCAAAGCCAAAACAATTACCGAATGATCCTGAATTACAGCGCCCATCCCAAAGTTTCCAGTTCCAGCCATTACTGCCGCATCAGTGTTCAAAATTAGACTCCCGACATCTAGTGGTCGCCAGTTTCCCCTAACCCACTTTCCCCTTGGCCGAGAATGGCGTAAATTACTGTCGAGCATCAAAACATCTGCCACCTCAGCTAGAATGCTAGCAGATCTCCTCCTTCCCCAATGTAACACACCGTTCCTTTCACCCCAGAGAACCAAAACTTGGCAGCCAGTCTCAGCCAAATCTATCCAAAGAACCCGCAAGAGAAAACCACTCACATCTCAACATCGAATTAAAAGCCTTAAAAGATTCTCACCACCCCCTAATTTTCCACACTTCCTTAGCAACATCACATAAAAAGAGAGAATCGATAGTAGTCTCTGCCATTCCACAGCGCTCACATAATCCACTATTAGTAATTCTGCAACGATAAAGATTCTGCCCCGCGGGGAGAGCCTCATGAGAAGCTCTCCAGATTAACACTCGAACTTTAGGCGGTGAACGAAAGCACCACGCTAGATTCCACTATATGGCTCAAAAAAATGCATTAGAAAGCTCCTAGGTCATTGAGTTCAAAATCATAATATTTGACTCCAGTTCAAGTCCTCGATAAATTTCAAATAAATAATAATAATAAAAATAATAATAACAACAACAACAAAATCTCCAATCGTGAAACAAAATCTCAATCCAGAATAATAATAATAATAATAATAATAATAATAATAATAATAATAATAATAAAAGAAGTCGATAACATTTCTGTGTTCTTAACTTCAGCTCACGTGGCCAGAATACAAATATTCATAAAAATCTAAATCCATATTAATCTATCTAATATGCGTATTTATGAGTTTATACAGAGAGAGTGCAGTAGAACCTGCTGCGAAGTCGCTTAATTGATCGGCTTCTTCAGTTCTCTGCTTCTCATAATACTGTAATCTCCTAAATCTTTGTGTGTTTGTGTTTCCTGTGATTGAAATGATAATGGAAATGGAAATTGGAAAATCGGAGCACGACATATTGATAGCTTGATTTACTTTATTAATATTTATATACTCTTCAAATTTTCAACCGAAGTCCTAATCCTTGTATATCTCCTAAATGAGTCCTCATATTTGATAAATATTTTTATGTATACCCCAAATTAAATCCACTTCTTTGTGTGATTTTAGGCTCATGTTCATAAAATATTCGCGAAAGCTCTTGTAATTATTTCACACATTTCTACGAATTCATAAATAATACTTACTTATTCATTATTTATTTTATATTTATTTAATTTAAATAATTTATAAACACTTCCAATACATGCTCATTTGAATATGATTAGAATCCAATTAGAATGCTACATCCAGCAATATTAATTCTTTAAAATTTGGTAACTTCCAAAATAGGTAACGGTTTTTTTTAACCCATTTTTTGAAAGAAAATGTTTTTATGACATTGATTTTTTTGAATAATATGTGGTTAAAATGTAGAGAAAATTTTGAGAAATAAGATAGGAAATTTTGAGACGAGACAAGATGGCTTCATTTTCATGAGTTTAATGTCCAAAATTCAACCACGTTCAAGGGTTCAGTGAACAATCATAAACGTTTTTCAAAGTATAGTGAGTAAATAAAGACATTTTCTAAAGTATGGTGAACAATAAAATATTTTTTTGGTGGTAATGGTGATGTGGCGTCACCTGAACATTCTATCACCCATGTACTACTTCCTTTAGATATTATAAATGGAAGTTAAGTAAGTAACTTTAATGTTTGGATAAGTTCAACGGTCAAATTTCGACATTTTAAATTTTGGTGAACAATAGAAGATATTAACATAAATTCATTAATTATTGGAACAATTAACTCTAGTTTGTTTGAGCCCATTTTTGGGAGAATTGGTTTTGTAATGGTAATTTTTTGAGAATCTATTAGGGGTGGGCGCGGGTTACTGCAATTAATTTATGAATCATTGCTATTATTTGTCAAACATGCTTTATTGTTTGTTAGTTGGAACTTTTGCGAACTTGTTCGTTGATAATTTAAACTTGCTGAATTTTGATGTTTTTTTTAGTACTTATTTGGTAGGATCAAAATCAGATTTTTAGTAAATTTTGATAAAAATTGATGAAATGCATAATTGTAAAGTTGTGGGACCCATAAAATGTGGTTAATTATTAACATTGATTTGGATTAAAATATGAATTTTAATCGATTCCAAACCCATCTTAGATATAAGTTACTAATATGGTGCAAGTCTGAAAATTTAAGAAATAGAAATAAAAATAGAATCAAACTAAAACCGAAACAGTTCAGTTAGGTTTGGTTCTATATCTTAAAAAATCATTTAGTTTAATAATAATAATAATAAATAATAATAATTGTTGGTTCGTTGTTCAATTTGGTTTTCTTGGAATCATAATCAAATGGAACCATGTTCACCCTTAAATTTACATGTAAAATTATTTTGTTGAAAAATTATGTGATTAGAAATGAATTTGGAGAAAAATAATTTATAAAATAATTTGGCTCAAATTGAAGCTAAATAAGTCTTTAACAAAGTCATAAGTTTCTAATTGTTTTCGAAGTTATTGAGAACTCGTAATTCTTTACATTTTACAATTTGTTGCAAGTGAAAAAGTTGTGAAGCTTGATAAAATTGAAATGGATGGTTTTTTTTATATTTAATTTTTTAATAGAAATTTTATATGTAAAAGACGTATTAATATTTAAAAATTTAGAGATCTAAACTTGATTAAGTGATAAGAGCAAAATTTTACATGTTCATTCACTTGAATTTGAGCCTCCTTTTGAGGAAACATAAAAAAAATGAGAGGGTGTTTGGTAGATATTTTTATGTGAAAATGCATTTTTGAATAGTAAGTTGATGGGAAATGTGTGGTTGAAAAATAAGGAAAAGTTTTTTATTTACGTGTAATATTATTTTAATAAAGAATGTGTGGTTGAAATGAAGAGAGAGAAAAATGCATTTTCAAAAATAATGGATACCAAACAGGCTCTGAAGCTATTTTTACCCGATCGTTAGGATTAGTTTCTCTTAGTGGCACCCACATTCTACTGTACATGGTCGGCTTCTATCCAACGTCATCTTCATTTCGAAAGCAGACAGAAACCGGATCATTCAAAATATAGGTCTATTGCTTGGCATTTCTCTCACCCACAATGTCACTCTATATGAATTTAAGCCTAGATTATGTTGTCAGTGTTCTAGTTTGAACTGTCCAACAGGGGGTTTATTCCGGAAGCAAACAAGAAGCCGAAATCTTGTCTGATTCAAAGAGACGTCGGATAATGGAATTTTTCTTCCTCATTTTAATTTGATATTGGTGGGTGAAAAAATAGGGGTGATGTGGATATGTCGAAAAGCTGTCAACCAATTTTTAAATTCATATTTTACAGGATATATTTGCTCCATTAATTAGATTTGAGATGAATTAACAATGAGGTTCATATATATAGAAGGAAAAAAATTATATGCAGATAATTTTTGTTTCCTCATATTATTATTATTATTTTTAAATTTGTACCCTTGATTTTTTATCACAGAGAAAGGAATTTCGAAAGACATGGATGATGATAACTGGTAAGAAACAGACAACGACAACATTTTGGAAAGTGTGGACTTAGTGGATGATGGAATTTTAGGATTAAATAGTCCGATCATGCCTGAGGTAAGTATAAAGTTCAATGATGAAATAGAAATATTTGATTTTTACAAAAGATATGGGTACTACGTAGGCTTTTCAGTTAGGAAAAGAAATTCTTAAAAGATGATGATGAAATTGTGAGATATGTTGTATTTATATGTAGCCGTGAAGGCTGAAGAAGTAGTAACACAAGTGTTTCTTTAAAGCCGCGAGCTACCATTTAAACAGGTTGTAAAATCAAACTAACTGCTTCTGTAGATACATGTGGAATATAGAGAATTAGCATGGTTAACCTCATTTACAATCATAAAACCTGTCTTTCGAAGTCTGTTATATCGTTACAACCGAGAATTGAGTGTCAATGTCAAACGACGGCTTGAAGTGAACGATATGGCAGGAATTTCGTGGCACAAAAGCTATAAATCTGCAGTAGTAGAAGTAGAGGGGTACGAGAATATGACTTGTATCGAAAAGGGTTGTCGAAATTATATCGAACAAGTGAGACGGTTAAGATTTGGAAAAGGAGATGCCACAACAATACGGGCCTACTTTCTGAACATGCAACCAAGGTGTTCAGGTTTTTTTTTAGCACGGATTTAGATGAGGAGTCGTGGCTGAAGAATATTTTTTGGACAGATAATAGGAATAGGCAAGCATATAAAGAGTTTGAAGATGTTATAACATTTGATTCCACGTACATAACTAATAAATATGACATGCCATTTGCAACTTTCGTTGGAGTTAATCATCATGGACAATCAACACTCCTTGGTTGTGGTTTGGTGTCGAATGAAAATACAGAAACATTTGTGTGGCTTTTCAAAATTTGACTTCAGTGCATGCATGGACACGCAACCCTCAGTATTATTACCAATAAAGATAATTCCATGTAGAAGACAATTGAGATCGTGTTTCCAAAAACGAAACATAGATGGTATTTGTGACACATATTGAAGAACTTGCCAGGAAAGTTTGAATACCACGAGGATAAGGGTGAGATCTTTTTTGCTACACACAATTGGTGTATGATACTAACAATGTTGAAGAATTTGAAGATGGTTGGGGTGCGATAATAGATAAATATAACTTGCTCAACAATGACTAGTTGTCGGGAATTTACACGAATAAAGGTCGTTGGGTACCCTGCTATTTGAAGAGTAGCTTCTGGGCAGGAATGTCGAATAACTCAGCGCAGTGGAAGTTTGAATGCATTCTTCGATAGGTATGTGCAGTCGAAGACGTTGCTGAAACAATTTGTCGAACAATACGAACTATTGTTAAGAAATAAGATAGAGAAGGAGTTTTGGGCAAATTTCGAGAAGTCTTACTCGTAAATGGTACCATGTACAACAAAGTATGAGCTGGAAAAGCAGTTTCAAATAGTGTACAGTATTTCGAAATTTAAGGAAGTTTAGAATGAGTTTATTAGGAAGGTTTATTGCTATCTTATATCCTCGTCGGAGGGTTTTTTATGGACGACATATGAGGTCTTGGAGGATGTCATACTTGACAATTGAGTTAAAAAAAAATAAGTTTTTCATCACATTTCAGCCGAAAAATGTAAAATTGTATGTAGTTGTCACATCTTCGAGTTTCGAGGAATAATTTGTAGGTATATGATCACCGTCCTTCTTCGTAATAATGTAACTTCACTGCCTGACACCTACATATTACAAAGATGGAGAAGAGATGTGAATAGAGCCTACACGGGGGTCGTAGTGAATTACAATGGTTTGAATAGCAGTCCTGCCCAGTTGAGATATGACAAAATGTATCAATCATTTGCTTCGCCTGCAAACATGATTGCAGATGATGAGGAAAGTCGTGCTTTAATGGAGTGGATAGAACGCGAAAAACAAACATTAAAGATGATGAAGTCGATTTCTAGAAGTAATAACATGTCCCAACAAGCATTTCATACAATGTGAGATTATGAAGCATCACAACATAATGGTAACGGAAGTATACAGAATCCAAAATGCTCGAAGAGAAAAGATGCACTGAGGAATCTTCGAAAAAAAAGCCCTATGGAATCGAATTTTAATAAAGCAAAGTATGTTTTCAATTTATTTTGCTTGGTAAGAAAGTGTATAGAGCAGTAATTATTTGTGTGTTATGCAGTCCCGTCCAACTTCAGCCCAGGAAAGGAGACTGAAGGCAAGCCCAAGTAAACTAGAGAAGTTGAATTATTTTACCAACGCTTGATCAAGGATCATACTATATGCAGTCACCGGTCATATTTTCACGACTTCCGCTGGTTCGTCTATTTCAATTTATGCCTAAATACGATTTGTACGTTTTAGTTGCATTATGATATGGTGCAGGGTGGTGGTGACAATCATGTATTTAAACAACAAGGAATGTCTTCAATTTCATCCAAGTGGCTTCAACAAGTGTTAAGTTGTATTATCAAGGTAATTATATGGTTAAACATAGGTACTTTATTTCATTCGTACTCTCGCTCACATAATAACCTTTTTCAATCGATAGCCGAGCATGTAATGCGTTACCACTATCCAAATGTACCTCACCAACGTATAGAAAACTTGTGATGATGAGTTGGACAGGTATTGAAGGTATATAAATTTTATCATGCTTTGAATTTTTGCACACAACACGGTTCTGGGACACATGATTGGAGAGAGTAGAGTTCGAGGTTTAAGACAAGATACATTCACGGAATATAGCATTCACAAAATTATAAAGGTGTTACCAACAAACCTAACTTAAGATAAATTGATACAATCATTGGATCCACCTGGGGGAAGAAAAACTTTCCTCATATGGAGGGAAGAAAAATCAGTACTGGAGAACTTCTTCTGATCCAATCTCTGGGCTGTCTTATAAAAGTTAGCAACATGCAAGCCATACTGGCTCCTCTGATCCTTGAAATTACTTTCGTGGGTTTTCAGAAGCTCCTTACCCCTTAAATTACCCGTAAAGGAAGAGCTTCTATTCCATGGTACATCCTGAAATATTGACATGTTTGAGAATGCCCTTTGGTAGCCAATTTCAGCGGCTCCTACTTCCCAACCAACCAATAGTCCAAGGCCTAGATGTTGATGTTGGTGGAGGAGATTCTCAAATGAAAAATAATCCTCTGGAATGTGGTCATCAGTACACACGACAAAGGTTACACCAGATTCGTCCATTACACCCAATACTGAGGAATTCGAAGAGGTGACAAGCCTCCTAAACCTTCTTTTACCGGTGAAACTACCAACATAATGAAATGATTTTTCTTGCATCTTATCTTTAAGAGCATTACTGTCAATTTCTTGCTCCTCAGAACTTGGATTATAACCAAGTTGACAGATATGTGTAACATCAAGACACGTTACATACTCACCAGTTGTTGCCCCATAAAAGGAGATCAAGCCAGATGCACTAAGACAAATAAGAAAAGTATGAGAGAAACTAAAGTCTGTCCATTCAGATAATCTGCTCCTACCTGCATTTTCCTCAAGCTTTACCGAGCAAACCCACTGTATTCCCCAGTTGGCTAACCTGGCAACAGCAACAAAAAGTTGATTGCATTTTCTTTCATTTGCATCATTGGTGGTAACAGGTATGGGATCCCTCAATAAGAGGGCAAACCCGACTAACCGATGAGAATCGCCAGAAAATACTTTAATGCATTTACAAAAATTGTTCAACCCACTACTTACAGAGTTGGACAAATTATCATCTTCGAGGCCCATAATGGATGGACGTGAACAGGCATTTACAGATGTATTTTTCAGAGGATCATCAGGAGATATGGTACCATTCTCTTTTTCTAGTGACACAGGGCTGCTACCATGAAAAATGAAGTCTAAGAGTTGCGAATCCTGATCAAGAATCCTAAAGGAAATCATTTCTTTGGAGCAACACTTTGGAAACCTGGTATACATGCCATCAGCAGATTTCAGTGTTTCAACCTTAGTCAAGAAAGTGCGCAACCAGATTTTTGCAGCAACACTTGCCGACAAATCTTCCACAGCTTCCACATCGATACTATTTGGTGTTTCCCTAGATGCCTCAAAATGCAACTTGGATTCTCCCTGAACCTCTGAATTACAAGACAAGGTGGTAGATGGTCCCCAGTCTACCCACATCCCTTGCCCAAAATCACCTTCTTGTATACATTTTGTGACTTCATTAGTTTTACTAAATTCAGGAAAAGCATGAACAACCACCCCATGACTTCCGGACACAAAAAGTAGATCTTGAAATGGTGTATCTTCGTGCTGATCACATTTATCCACACATATGCCCCAGGCCACAGAACTTACATCAGAAATAAAACCGTAATTGCTATATCTTGGGAAAGTAATATCTGAAGTACAATTGTTACTGAAATCCAACTCTACTGGTTCAGATGTGCTTGAATTATTCTCCAGTGTGCCTGAAATACTGGGCACACTCAATTCTGGAGGATTTTGAAAGCTTGCATAATAATTGCTTTCAGGCTCCTTGCTTTTCATCCATCGATCTGCTGAAAAAGAGATATTGAATAAAGAGTGTTGAATACATAAATTTAAGGACAAAAATGATAGCTAGATATGAACCTTTAACTAAGGGAAACAGCAATGCTTCAAAATTGTATGAAAGCAACAATAAGAACTCCCGTGTCGGTGAAAGAAAACCTTCACGAAAATCCAGAGGATTGTACTGAAATTCAGAGGGGGCCCATTTTCGCAACTGCAGTATCCTGAGGCCCTCATCATCATAAGAACAGTTGAAGTTCATATGGACCTGCATGAATATAAACAAAATGAAGCGAGCATTGTCAAATATGGAGCAAAGAAACCGAAATATATCAACTGGGAGATAAGCATACGAGAACTGAGGCTTGTCACGTAGTTTCAGTAGCAGAAATTCCCTACTAAAATGTCCAAGAAGTTACATATGAAATGCTCACACAGTTGCATCATTTTATTGACCATAACAATCATTCATTCAAATCGCCACAATCTGTGGCCGAAATAAAAAGGAAATGCAATTAATCCACTTCATCAAGTGCAAATCAACCAAATTAAAGGATGCAAGCAAGAGGGCCACTCCATTTCCCTCTTGATAAATAAAATGGCAAGAGCCACGCGTAACATCCCACATCAAATCCAGAGTGTCAGATAATAAGGCAGCATTTGGAGACATATTAAAGTCTGAACGAATTCTCAAAACCACCCTCAAAATATCACACTCCACCAACTGCTATGTGGAACCCATTTTCCTTGGCCCAATTATAAGCCATCAAGTAAAGCAGAAGCCTCATCATCTTCTACCGTATGAAAACCTACTAACTGCTTTGATTGTGAAGCCAAAACAATTACCGAATGATCCTGAATTACAGCGCCCACCCCAAAGTTTCCAGTTCCAGCCATTACTGCCTCATCAGTGTTCAAAATTAGACTCCCGACATCTAGTGGTCGCCAGTTTCCCCTAACCCACTTTCCCCTTGGCCGAGAATGGCGTAAATTACTGTCGAGCATCAAAACATCTGCCACCTCAGCTAGAACGCTAGCAGATCTCCTCCTTCCCCAATGTAACACACCGTTCCTTTCACCCCAGAGAACCAAAACTTGGCAGCCAGTCTCAGCCAAATCTATCCAAAGAACCCCCCAAGAGAAAACCACTCACATCTCAACATCGAATTAAAAGCCTTAAAAGATTCTCACCACCCCGTAATTTTCCACACTTCCTTAGCAACATCACATAAAAAGAGAGAATCGATAGTAGTCTCTGCCATTCCACAGCGCTCACATAATCCACTATTAGTAATTCTACAAAGATAAAGATTCTGCCCCGCGGGGAGAGCCTCATGAGAAGCTCTCCAGATTAACACTCGAACTTTAGGCGGTGAACGAAAGCACCACGCTAGATTCCACTATATGGCTCAAAAAAATGCATTAGAAAGCTCCTAGGTCATTGAGTTCAAAATCATAATATTTGACTCCAGTTCAAGTCCTCGATAAATTTCAAATAAATAATAATAATAATAATAATAATAATAATAACAACAACAACAAAATCTCCAATCGTGAAACAAAATCTCAATCCAGAATAATAATAATAATAATAATAATAATAATAATAATAATAATAATAATAATAATAATAAAAGAAGTCGATAACATTTCTGTGTTCTTAACTTCAGCTCACATGGCCAGAATACAAATATTCATAAAAATCTAAATCCATATTAATCTATCTAATATGCGTATTTATGAGTTTATACAGAGAGAGTGCAGTAGAACCTGCTGCGAAGTCGCTTAATTGATCGGCTTCTTCAGTTCTCTGCTTCTCATAATACTGTAATCTCCTAAATCTTTGTGTGTTTGTGTTTCCTGTGATTGAAATAATAATGGAAATGGAAATTGGAAAATCGGAGCACGACATATTGATAGCTTGATTTACTTTATTAATATTTATATACTCTTCAAATTTTCAACCGAAGTCCTAATCCTTGTATATCTCCTAAATGAGTCCTCATATTTGATAAATATTTTTATGTATACCCCAAATTAAATCCACTTCTTTGTGTGATTTTAGGCTCATGTTCATAAAATATTCGCGAAAGCTCTTGTAATTATTTCACACATTTCTACGAATTCATAAATAATACTTACTTATTCATTATTTATTTTATATTTATTTAATTTAAATAATTTATAAACACTTCCAAAACATGCTCATTTGAATATGATTAGAATCCAATTAGAATGCTACATCCAGCAATATTAATTCTTTAAAATTTGGTAACTTCCAAAATAGGTAACGGTTTTTTTGAACCCATTTTTTGAAAGAAAATGTTTTTATGACATTGATTTTTTTGAATAATATGTGGTTAAAATGTAGAGAAAATTTTGAGAAATAAGATAGGAAATTTTGAGACGAGAGAAGATGGCTTCATTTTCATGAGTTTAATGTCCAAAATTCAACCACGTTCAAGGGTTCAGTGAACAATCATAAACGTTTTCCAAAGTATAGTGAGTAAATAAAGACATTTTCTAAAGTATGATGAACAATAAAATGTTTTTTTTGTGGTAATGGTGATGTGGCGTCACCTGAACATTCTATCACCCATGTACTACTTCCTTTAGATGTTACAAATGGAAGTTAAGTAAGTAACTTTAATGTTTGGATAAGTTCAACGGTCAAATTTCGACATTTTAAATTTTGGTGAACAATAGAAAATATTAACATAAATTCATTAATTATTGGAACAATTAACTCTAGTTTGTTTGAGCCCATTTTTGGGAGAATTGGTTTTGTAACGGTAATTTTTTGAGAATCTATAGTAAAAAATTATGGAATAATTTTGGGTTTACATAGTGGTGGACAAAGTGTCCAAACCAAATAGAACGGAATCCAATTGAGCAATTTTGATTCTACCCAAAAATAAAGGTTTTGGTGTATAGACACACCACACACACATACATATATCATTGGAGACAATTCATTAATTGTGCCATAATTTTGTATTCATTTGAATATTTTTACTTTGCTCCTTTTCAATTTATACAACGTCGCGGCACACTGACACCATATTTCACCGCGTCAGTGAACGGGACTCTTTTAAGATCGAAAGATGAAATTTTTCAGTCAGTTAAAAAAATTTTTTATTATATATATATATATATATATATATATATATTTTTTTTTTTTTACCTTAATTGTTCGATAAATTATTTGTGCTCTTCACAAAAAGAGGAAAATCCGATAAGCATTTATGAAGTATTTAATGATGTTAATGGTTGCATATAAAAGTGCACGGTAAACTATTGCATAGTTCATCCTTTATTGTGGAAATGTGCCGTCAAAACTACTGCAATTAATTTATGAATCATTGCTATTATTTGTCAAACATGCTTTATTGTTTGTTAGTTGGAACTTTTGCGAACTTGTTCATTGATAATTTAAACTTGCTGAATATTTGATGTTTTTTTAATACTTATTTGGTAGGATCAAAATCAGATTTTTAGTAAATTTTGATAAAAATTGATGAAATGCATAATTGTAAAGTTGTGGGACCCATAAAATGTGGTTAATTATTAACATTGATTTGGATTAAAATATGAATTTTAATCGATTCCAAACCCATCTTAGATATAAGTTACTAATATGGTGCAAGTCTGAAAATTTAAGAAATAGAAATAAAAATAGAATCAAACTAAAACCGAAACAGTTCAGTTAGGTTTGGTTCTATATCTTAAAAAATCATTTAGTTTAATAATAATAATAATAAATAATAATAATTGTTGGTTCGTTGTTCAATTTGGTTTTCTTGGAATCATAATCAAATGGAACCATGTTCACCCTTAAATTTACATGTAAAATTATTTTGTTGAAAAATTATGTGATTAGAAATGAATTTGGAGAAAAATAATTTATAAAATAATTTGGCTCAAATTGAAGCTAAATAAGTCTTTAACAAAGTCATAAGTTTCTAATTGTTTTCGAAGTTATTGAGAACTCGTAATTCTTTACATTTTACAATATGTTGCAAGTGAAAAAGTTGTGAAGCTTGATAAAATTGAAATGGATGGTTTTTTTTATATTTAATTTTTAAAATAGAAATTTTATATGTAAGAGACGTATTAATATTTAAAAATTTAGAGATCTAAACTTGATTAAGTGATAAGAGCAAAATTTTACATGTTCATTCACTTGAATTTGAGCCTCCTTTTGAGGAAATATAGAAAAAATGAAGCTATTTTTACCCGATCGTTAGGATTAGTTTCTCTTAGTGGCACCCACATTCTATTGTACATGGTCGGCTTCTATCCAACGTCATCTTCATTTCGAAAGCAGACAGAAACCGGATCATTCAAAATATAGGTCTATTGCTTGGCATTTCTCTCACCCACAATGTCACTCTATATGAATTTAAGCCTAGATTATGTTGTCAGTGTTCTAGTTTGAACTGTCCAACCGGGGGTTTATTCCAGAAGCAAACAAGAAGCCGAAATCTTGTCTGATTCGAAGAGACGTCGGATAATGGAATTTTTCTTCCTCATTTTAATTTGATATTGGTGAGTGAAAAAATAGGGGGTGATGTGGATATGTCGAAAAGCTGTCAACCAATTTTTAAATTCATATTATACAGGATATATTTGCTCCATTAATTAGATTTGAGATGAATTAACAATGAGGTTCATATATATAGAAGGAAAAAAATTATATGCAGATAATTTTTGTTTCCTCATATTATTATTATTATTATTAAATTTGTACCCTTGATTTTTTATCACAGAGAAAGGAATTTCGAAAGACATGGATGATGATAATTGGTAAGAAACAGATAACGACAACATTTTGGAAAGTGTGGACTTAGTGGATGATGGAATTTTAGGATTAAATAGTCCGATCATGCATGAGGTAAGTATAAAGTTCAATGATGAAATAGAAATGTTTGATTTTTACAAAAGATATGGGTACTACGTAGGCTTTCCAGTTAGGAAAAGAAATTCTTAAAAGATGATGATGAAATTGTGAGATATGTTGTATTTATATGTAGCCGTGAAGGCTGAAGAAGTAGTAACACAAGTGTTTCTTTAAAGCCGCGAGCTACCATTTAAACAGGTTGTAAAATCAAACTAACTGCTTCTGTAGATACATGTGGAATATAGAGAATTAGCATGGTTAACCTCATTTACAATCATAAAACCTGTCTTTCGAAGTCTGTTATATCGTTACAATCGAGAATTGAGTGTCAATGTCAAACGACGGCTTGAAGTGAACGATATGGCAGGAATTTCGTGGCACAAAAGCTATAAATCTGCAGTAGTAGAAGTAGAGGGGTACGAGAATATGAATTGTATCGAAAAGGGTTGTCGAAATTATATCGAACAAGTGAGACGGTTAAGATTTGGAAAAGGAGATGCCACAACAATACGGGCCTACTTTCTGAACATGCAACCAAGGTGTTCAGGTTTTTTTTTAGCATGGATTTTGATGAGGAGTCGTGGCTGAAGAATATTTTCTGGACAGATAATAGGAATAGGCAAGCATATAAAGAGTTTGAAGATGTTATAACATTTGATACCACGTACATAACTAATAAATATGACATGCCATTTGCAGCTTTCGTTGGAGTTAATCATCATGGACAATCAACACTCCTTGGTTGTGGTTTGGTGTCGAATGAAAATACAGAAACATTTGTGTGGCTTTTCAAAATTTGACTTCAGTGCATGCATGGACACGCAACCCTCAGTATTATTACCAATAAAGATAATTCCATGTAGAAGACAATTGAGATCGTGTTTCCAAAAACGAAACATAGATGGTATTTGTGACACATATTGAAGAACTTGCCAGGAAAGTTTGAATACCACGAGGATAAGGGTGAGATCTTTTTTGCTACACACAATTGGTGTATGATACTAACAATGTTGAAGAATTTGAAGATGGTTGGGGTGCGATAATAGATAAATATAACTTGCTCAACAATGACTAGTTGTCGGGAATTTACACGAATAAAGGTCGTTGGGTACCCTGCTATTTGAAGAGTAGCTTCTGGGCAGGAATGTCGAATAACTCAGCGCAGTGGAAGTTTGAATGCATTCTTCGATAGGTATGTGCAGTCGAAGACGTTGCTGAAGCAATTTGTCGAACAATACGAACTATTGTTAAGAAATAAGATAGAGAAGGAGTTTTGGGCAAATTTCGAGAAGTCTTACTCGTAAATGGTACCATGTACAACAAAGTATGAGCTGGAAAAGCAGTTTCAAATAGTGTACAGTATTTCGAAATTTAAGGAAGTTTAGAATGAGTTTATTAGGAAGGTTTATTGCTATCTTATATCCTCATCGGAGGGTTTTTTATGGACGACATATGAGGTCTTGGAGGATGTCATACTTGACAATTGAGTTAAAAAAAAAAAATAAGTTTTTCATCACATTTCAGCCGAAAAATGTAAAATTGTATGTAGTTGTCACATCTTCGAGTTTCGAGGAATAATTTGTAGGTATATGATCACCGTCCTTCTTCGTAATAATGTAACTTCACTGCCTGACACCTACATATTACAAAGATGGAGAAGAGATGTGAATAGAGCCTACACGGGGGTCGTAGTGAATTACAATGGTTTGAATAGCAGTCCTGCCCAGTTGAGATATGACAAAATGTGTCAATCATTTGCTTCGCCTGCAAACATGATTGCAGATGATGAGGAAAGTCATGCTTTAATGGAGTGGATAGAACGCGAAAAACAAACATTAAAGATGATGAAGTCGATTTCTGGAAGTAATAACACGTCCCAACAAGCATTTCATACAATGTGAGATTATGAAGCATCACAACATAATGGTAACGGAAGTATACAGAATCCAAAATGCTCGAAGAGAAAAGATGCACTGAGGAATCTTCGAAAAAAAAGCCCTATGGAATAGAATTTTAATAAAGCAAAGAATGTTTTCAATTTATTTTGCTTGGTAAGAAAGTGTATAGAGCAATAATTATTTGTGTGTTATGCAGTCCCGTCCAACTTCAGCCCAGGGAAGGAGACTGAAGGCAAGCCCAAGTAAACTAGAGAAGTTGAATTATTTTACCAACGCCTGATCAAGGATCATACTATATGCAGTCACCGGTCATATTTTCACGACTTCCGCTGGTTCGTCTATTTCAATTTATGCCTAAATACGATTTGTACGTTTTAGTTGCATTATGATATGGTACAGGGTGGTGGTGATAATCATGTATTTAAACAACAAGGAATGTCTTCAATTTCATCCAAGTGGCTTCAACAAGTGTTAAGTTGTATTATCAAGGTAATTATATGGTTAAACATAGGTACTTTATTTCATTCGTACTCTCGCTCACATAATAACCTTTTTCAATCGATAGCCGAGCATGTAATGCGTTACCACTATCCAAATGTACCTCACCAACGTATAGAAAACTTGTGATGATGAGTTGGACAGGTATTGAAGGTATATAAATTTTATCATGCTTTGAATTTTTGCACACAACACGGTTCTGGGACACATGATTGGAGAGAGTGGAGTTCGAGGTTTAAGACAAGATACATTCACGGAATATAGCATTCACAAAATTATAAAGGTGTTACCAACAAACCTAACTTAAGATAAATTGATACATTTCTCTGCAACTTTTAAAAGATGTAAATGCTTATTAATAGACATTGACCTTGCATGACCTTGCACACTAGATATGATATGGAAGCACATAGTGTAAACAAATTTATATATTTCTTAAATGCTTTCTTCCACATTGAAATGATGACTGGTAAATTTATTTGTTCTGTTTGTTCCATTTCTTCCTTTTATCTTGCGTCTTAGATGACCAAATTGTATCCCAAGAGGGCATTTAGAATGCTATTAAGCTATATCTCGTCTTAATAAGCCATTGAGGTATATCTCATCTTCATGAGAAAGTTCACAATATTCAATAGATTTGTTCCCCCAAAAAATTGTAATTGATTTTTGAATATAAACCGAGAAAAAGGTTATAATAGGAAAAAATATGGTACATGGATATCCACATACACTAAGTTTAATTCTCTACCTGCTTTATTGTACCTGTGGAAATTGATTGTGCATTTGTAACTGATACTTGTCTTATCTATTGTCCATAAGGCCTTTTTCTTTTTGGTACTAAATATTTAATTTTTGTATCTAGTTAGATTGATAATATATCTTTTCCATTTAAAAAAATCAACTTCCACCAGTCCAGCTTTATTTTTATGTCAATAAGTCAGATTCTATATTGAACGTGTACGCTGTTTTGATTTCTTTCAATATTTCTTAAAATTCAGAATACTTGGAAAGGGAGACTAGATTTTTCTTTTACTTGTATCTTTATGTGCAAACTTTAAATAAAAGGATCCCTTCCTAAAGTTCATATTCAGTAAATTGATCTCATTGGGTTATCATCAAAGTGTAATAATTGTCCACTTTTTTCATAGAACTAAACTTAATGATTTAGAATATGTTGATCACCAATTCTACTATATGTTTGCAAGTTTGACTGTTTGAGTTTAATGTGTTCATTGATTAATACTACTATTTGCAATCTGGTTGGATATCAGCAATTACAAGAGCTTGGAAGAGGTTCACGAGTCTCTTGGGAATCTTAAAAAGCTTCTATATTTAAATTTGGCAAAATGTATTAAACATCTGGAAACACTTTTTGACTGAGAAGAAATTATGTTAATTGAGTGGTTGTTTTGTAAAATGTATTAAATTTAATGATGTTACAATATCCTCAAAACAAGTGGCTTTTACCTGTACCTCAAGACAATTTCAGATGCAATCCCAGCCGTCTTGTTAAACCCAGAAATTGTGTGTGAGGTGTAAGTATATTTTCTCAATTAGGACATCAATCTTGCTTATTCGTGAATTTGTGCAACCCGGAATATGGAGAATTCATTTTCTACAGATTTATGGTTTTCATAAGTGGCTTGTTCTGTAAATGTAAATGTATTTGCAGATACAAAATTATGATAAAAATTGTAAATCAAAAGTAAATGATAGTATGGTGAACCACTTCTCCATACATTTGGGTTTTGCCCATGAGATGAACCAAATGTGATGTAGAAAGCTATTCTTTTACTGTAGCAAAACATTAGCCAATATTACTAAATTTAGCAAAGTTTTCCCAATGAAACTTCCAATATAGCGCTTTCTTCCACAAACTTTTCTTAAACAAAGACTGCTAGTACAATTACAATTTCATATTCAATCCCAGTAACATAATGAAGAACACAAATTGCAGTCTACTAATATTAACACCAACATCATTTACATAGCTACTGAAACATCAAAAGCGACTACATTACAATGACTTCTTCCCATAACACAAGACATATTACACATCAACTTCACATAACACACCACATATTGCACATCAAAGGTGGTAGCGATGCATCCTAAGAAAATATAACGAGTAATTATGCTGGCCCCTTCACTTTCTTATCCACTCCCGCACTTCCATTGGCCTTCCTTATTGTTACGTTCAAAGAAATCTCCATGTTTTATTCTTCAGTTACCCAACAAAAGGACTAGAACATGCGAGAGAACAGCTGGACTTCTTCAAGTGCTGCATGATTATTCAAGTTTATAGCAATAGTAATTGATCTACGGCTCAATTCTCTCTCGTCAATCCATTCCTAGTGTTTACAGTTAGCACTGCAGCAATTGAACAATTTTCCCTTGTTCTTTGTCTCCCTCTAAATCTCAAAGCACTTCACGAATCCAATTTTACACTAGAGGTATCATCGTTTGTTTGGGCAATTCGCAAAGAAGTGCCCCTCCCTCTACAGCTATGACAACGTCTGAAGTTTTTTCTTGCCATACTACATGCAAATAAAAACAGGTTGGACTACATTAGACAACAACCACACACCAATGTAAAATTCACAAATTTGCAAAACGCGTACTCCACTCTTTTTTTCCTTCCAACAGTGTTTGCCAAAAATTTCTACTAATTCAAAACATTACTTACTCATTTGTAATTACATCTAAACTACTAATGAGCACCGTCAAAATTGGATAAATTTTAAAAAATCTTCGATACGATCGGGATGAGGGTGACATTTTTTCCTACCAAGAATGTCGGGTTGTATTCATTGAAACTGAAATTAGTCGATCACGATAACAAACGATGAACAAATATCATACTTACATAATATTTGCTCAAGATTTCGTCGGAGGCGATGGCTTCAACGATGGATGATCTTGCTATACATGGTCAGCTTCTCTTTTGCAGCTACAAATTTTTATTTACCAACCATTCGATTCACTTAACGTGAGAAACCCAAATATGGAGATGATCACTAGGTTAAGCACGGGCTTCTTAACAAGGCCAGGAAGAGTGCAGCTTCAGCTCTCCTCAAACGATTGTTTTGCCTCTGAGGGCCTGTAAAACCCTATTCCCCAAATTTGAATTCCAAACCCATCTTCTTCACCTTAATTTTCACTATATTTCAATATTACAAAAAACTTTTCTTTGACTCTAGTTTATTTCACATTACTTTACTCTCTCTTTGGTACAAGTTAAGACAACAAAAAAGGTAATTTTTTCTACGATTTTTATTTTCTTTTTTGTTATTTTAAAATGTGATTTTGTGCTTCCATTACTATAGTTTTATAATAAAAATTTGTAAAAATTGCATTTTTTTTATGATTTTGTGATTTATTTGTATATTTAGTTTAGTTTTAGCTGAGTTTTTTTAATGTGAATGGATTTTTGATACATTTGGGGGTTTTGAAGATGATGGGTTAAAAAACAATTCATTTACTGGCATTGCTATAAATCGAAATTGTGATATGTAAATGTGCTTGTTCTTTGATATGCCTTGAAACTTAGAGAGTTGCATTAAGAATAATTTGATTTAAATAATTCGGCATTTTTAGGAAAATTCTTTATATTATGTTTTACTGTAATTCCTATTTTATGTTAGTTCTATTATTAAACTTTACACTTGTTGATTTCAGAATTTTTTCATATTATATTTTGCCTATTTTTACCAGAGTACCCTTATTTGTAGATTGGAACTTCACCTACTAAATAATGTATATAAGTTTGCAATTTAAAAGGTTGTGTTTCCCCTTGACTTTATTGAATCATTTTATTCTTTAGTTGCGTAAACGTTGTATCATTACGCCTACATTGATTATTACTTGATTTGACTTTGATTTACCTGTTGTTCCAAGAAAGAGAACTAGCATTGAAATCGTTTAAAAGTGAAAACACACTAATTTTGGTTGTGACAGATATGGCAGGTCATGGCCTTGATATTCCCTACATTGTTCACGTATCAACAAAGCCACCAGCTGATTTGATAAACCAATCAAGAGGTGCCCATTGGCTGATTTGGTTTACAAGTCGAGCTCCATATAGAGGTAAAAGTAGACGTGGTGTGGGCATTTTGGTGGTCGTGATTNCGACACAACTGCCGTTATAGTGACAAACTTAATAACGAGTATGACACAAGCGACGATAATGTTCATATAACTCAAGATAGGAAAAACGACACAAGTAGCGTTATAAAGACAAAAACATGTTCATAAGAACGGCACAAGTGTTGTTACCGCTTATAAAACGACTCTTGTGCCGTTACTGGATTGAGATAAAACATTAAAACGGTGTAACTGTTGTTATGTTTAAACTAGTCGCTATCACGTGCGCTGCACACATTTTGTATTTATTATATTTTTATGAGTGTATGAATTTTGATTTTTTTGGAAAGTTTTAGAAGCAATATCTAAAAATATTTTCATAATATATGAAAATAATTATAAATTATTTTTACAATTGTATAGCAGTATGTTATCTAGAAAAATATGCTTGTATATTTCATGTTTGAATAAGAAATATACAAACTATTTTGTTTGTATTCTTTGATAGTGTTGATATGATTGAATTGAATGTGAAGATTAT